ATCCCCGCGTGGAGGCGGAGGCGGACATACGGATGGCACCGCAGGGGGCTGCAGGGGAACGGATGACGCAGCGCCCGATCGCCCTGGCTCTGCGTACGGCATGCTGCGTACGCCCAATAGCAGGCGCACTGATCATCGGGCACGTACCTGCGCGCGTGCGTTTCCCCACCTCGCACGCTCACCACGGGCACCGCGACGGGCGCGTCGCTGACGAACTCCCAACCTTGTCGCACGGCGCGCAGGTGCGCGTGGTGCACCGGTGTTTGACGCTGCTGCTGCTGGCAATTGCAAGTGGAGTCGAGGTCCCGCGCGACTTATCGGGCCAAGTGCGGGTTAGCCGGGCGTGTAAGCCCCTGGCTGCAGGGCTCGGCAGCTGGAATGCCGAAAAGGTGCGAAAAAGGCGACGCGGTTGACGTCCGGTGTTCATGTGCGTGCCCTGCCGTGCCCGGCTGTGTCGCACTAGGTGTCGTCGAGTGTCGAGCGTCGAGGTCATGGGTGCGCGATTCGAGCAACTGGTGGACAGGCTTCGCGCCTTGGTGATCCTTGGGTGTCGTCGAGACCACGAAGGACAGCTGCACGGGTGCAGAGATGCGATTGGGCGAGAATATGTGGCCGTGTGAAGGCGGCGCCTGGGAGAAGCGCGAGGCTGCGTGTCTGCAGACCGCGGCCACACTCGCACCTGACCAGTTATACTGCGCGCTCGCCGTCCTGGAAGCTAAGGATATGTGTCAGCCCTACGATGCGATGAGATTGCGAAGGCCGCGAACTCATCCTCGGTGTCATCTGTTGTCGGAGCATACTGTGAAGACTGGTCAGGAACGTTATGGTATTCATGGAACAGTGCATCTCATGCGTCAACTTGAGCGCGACGCACAGATCATCTGCTCTTCAGTGCTAGAATTGTCCACATCCTCCCCCAAATTTAGCTTGAGTGGCAGACCCCTGATATTATCGTCCCAGCTACACACGGACAAGCGGTGTCCCACATAGCGGAGCTTTGGAACAGCAGTGAAGCCAGCGAATGGCGGCCAAGGGTGAAGCAGGGTTGTCACGAGTGCGCTGGCTGTATGCGCTGCACCCATATCGAGCAACCATCTCGAGGGAGTTGTGGCGTGCAACGGGATAGAGACATACAAGGGACCATCCTGACCGCAGCATGCGCGAACCGCCTCGCAGCCTGACGACGGAGCCAGATGGACTAGTAGAGCTAGTACGGAAGTACTTGCTTCTTACGAGATACTGGTCCTAGGACCAAGATTGGGCGTTCCGCTGCCGGTTCTTTGTTCATAGTACCAAAGCTGCCAATCCTGGGCTCATGAAATGAAGTACCCCGAGTGGCACAGAGACGGAGTGCAGGTGCGCGGATCACGTATCGGAAGGCTGCTTAGTGTCTTAGTTCGAGGGCAGTGGCACACTGCAGCACGCAAGCTGCAAAGCTAGGTCATACCATACCAAAGCGAGGCGGCGCTGCAAACGCGACAAGGCCACGAGGAGATAAGTACTTATCCCGGCTGCAGCGCGTGCTTCGGTATGGTGGTGTGTAGACACCATCAAATATCTCGACAACCATGTCCGTGCACACCACGGAGTCTAGATACGGTGGTGGTGCCTGGGGTGCAGCTGAGTGAGGCTCGAAACATCCACGACACCAATGACGAGGGTGGACAGGACGCCATCCCCAGACTGTCGTGTCCATCTCAGCCTGCGGGGCATGCCACGCAGCTGTGGCTTTGTGCGACCTGGGCCTCCCCCCGGAGTCGGCGTGGGCATGGAACTGACGGGAGAAGACGAGGACACCAGCGTCCGCCGCAGCTGCAGTAACGGATCACGATCGCGCACGCCTTCTTCCCCACAGACGCGGCTGCATTCGGTCGGAAGGCGAGAGGCTGGATCTCCATGTCCGAGAGGACAAAGCGCGGAGTGACGACGGAGGCGGCCGCATGGCGTCTGAGAATGGCCGACAACTTGGTGGACAGGCAAGGGCCAAGGGCCTAGGTCTTGACCACGCAGTAGACAGTCGCCTGGTCATACGCCCCACAGGATACGTGGGACGTGGGTAAGGCGGATACGGTACTGCCGTTGCTGCAAGGCGGCGGCCGACGCGTTCTTGGCTCGCGCTCACGAATGTTTGGGGAATCCCAGACCAAATCATGAACTCGTGCCGCGCGAATATCTGGCAGGTGACCCGACGTCTAGCTCTCGCGATTTACGCGCATTAGGGCAATTGAATGGGTGTGTACACACACCTTGTGAGCTGGGGTAAGGTTCTCCGAGAGTAAAAGCGACGTCGGAGCGCATCTTTCGTGCATCTGACGATGCCGACCGTGAGCAAGAGCGTGCACAAAGCCAGGAAGCGTCGATGGGAATGTTCGGGCAGACAACGAGTCTCGAGACGGGGTGCACGGAGAAGCATCTCGCGAGCGACTGACGTCAACAGCGCTCCTCCTCGCTCGCAGCGCCTCCTCCTATTGGCCATCCTCTGTCCGTCTGGGCCTCGCTCATCCTCGAGGCATCGCCATATTCGAGATTTTCCTCTGCTTTTCTGTTCCGTTTTCCCCAGACATCCGTTCGCTTCGACGACGCCTTGTTGGAACGAAAGGAAGCTTCGACCCATGTAAGCTAATCACACCCATCCTAGTCAATCTGACGGCAGCCTTAGCGGTGGCTGACCCTCCGCACGACCCTGTAGATATCGATGTCAGAAACATCTCTTCGATTTCAATGCACACATATGTACATCCATATCTCGGTCTCCCAACCCAGACCAATCACATACTGACGCAAGAGGCTGACAACTCCATATGCGTATGCAGTACTCACAGGCGATCGCGAATATTCGAATCACATCAAGTACTCTCAGCCACATCGTGTGCGCAATCAAGCAGCGTGCGATGCATGGCCGGCGTGCCTCGCCTCCCTGACGCCAGTACGCGATCGGCGCACATGGCGCACGCCCTGCTAGTGGATGCGGCTCCCAGCGCGGCGCGGTCGGGACTGCCGTCGACCGCACCCCCAAACACGCATCGAGCGCGCCCTGATAGGCCCGCCTCCACGCTAAGCCACTTCCGTCGAGGAAACCGGGCCCTGTGCATTATGCGCATCACCGGCCGCGGTCGGTGGCGATCGTCGTCGATCGGTAAGTAGTACATAATGTTTTTTGCTTTGCGATGCGCCAGAGATCTGGGAGGCGGGCTGAGGCGGGCCGTGCTCCCGATGCGACGCTCTCGCTTCCGAGTCGGCCTCCCGTTCTGCCCTGCCCGCCTCGCGATCGTGCACGCTCTCTGGTCTCTCGTGCCTGGCTGGCTGGGGTGCGCGCTGCCTCTCTGTGTGCGGGTTCGGCGGCTGGCGGTACGCGTTTCCGATTCCTGGTCTACGTTCTGCAGGAATGTGTGCCCCGAAGTGACGATCGGACCTGTGTGGTGTTGCGATCGAACGAGCTCTTGATGTTGACTTGCCGTAGACGTAAACGATAGGCTTAAGTGTTCTTCGATGCGCTGATGTCTATCTGCGCGATGCTTCGTTAGACCTCCTGAATCCTTCATGGTATGTCCCATATTTGCACTTGTCCACCTTCGATATCCAGCCCTTGCGTACTTGCCTTTGGGAGGCGAACAATTTACATGTCAGGTTCTACAGGAACGTGCTCAACACATCGTGCGCGATCGCCGTTACAGCTATATTCAGAGCCCCGGCAGGTACCCTCAGGTGCGGTCCGAGCTGTTCGGAACACCGCCCCTGTGCCCGCGTACGTCGGTCTCTCCCTTTTGTCTACCTGCGCTGAAGTCTAACCATACACATGCATAGTATACGGTCCACACAGAACCGCCGAGCTGAGGTTCTCTGTCGAGCGGGCGCTGCCGCCCGAACGAGCACACACAACGGACAAGTCCTCGACGTTCGATCATCCAGGTCGCGGTTCCCTGCCCTGGCTGTCCCGCAATCTTCAGGCTCGAACCTAACATGAACGCTGGAACGCGTTCCTTGGGGCCCGAGGCTGCTCGGGACCGCCACGGCCACTATAGTGCAGCCTAATCGGAGCAAATGCAGGCAGAAGTCGGAGGCGAGTGGAGCTATTCGCGAAGTCTGCAGCTGTCGGCTGCCGAGTTCCAGCAGTGCGTGGAGGGTTTTCAGCTGTGTCGTGTTACGGTGTTCTATATCCAGCATGGCCGTCCACTGGCCCCTCGGCACCGCATTTCGCTGGAAACCGAGGCCCGACCTCCCGGTCGGCCTTCCATCCAGCTCTCGGCACGCCGCCTCGGTCTGACATACAAGCATGTTGGGCAGAAGGCCGATCCTGTGGCAACGTACGCTTCTGTGAACCGCGACATGGAACGCTGGTGTCCGATGTACTTAGCGTACTCGACCGCGTTGTGTTTACCCTATGTTCTATACACAACGAATGAGCCCACCCCCCTTGCCCCCGCAAGGTTCGTAGCCACCCACCATGCTCGAGACGTGGGTCTTGTCAGCCCCGCGCCCGCCTCACCAGCAACTGCGGCCATAGACGATCGGACAAACCTCGCCCGCCGCACAACCGCCTCCCAGCATGTGCTCCCGCTCCTGCACGCGCGTCCCTTCGCAACGTTAACGTCAATGCGAACGCTCTCCCCTGGGCGTGTCTCATCTCGCCGTCACAGCCGAGTGGCAGATGCGCCCGTCTGGATCTTGCTCGCCGCAGCTGCCGAAGCACAAGCTCAAGGAGCGTCAATCTTCGGCAGGAAGCACTCACTCCTTCACGTGCGGCTGCCTCTGGAGGTGCGGGGCATGACACAAAAGGCGATCGATCGCCCCTCCCCGCATATCGCTGGAGCTCCAGCAAAGTGGTCCCTGACCGTAGCTCATCCCACGTCAAACATCCTCAAGTGACCAAAGACAGCAGAAGGGCACGCAGGCTGCTCGCGGGCAGAGGAAGTTGCACATAGACATGAATGTAACTCATTACTATTCATACGGTATCATACTAACAAACATTGCACTTCATACAACCCCGAGGAGGGGTGGGTAAATGTAAGGAGGTTCTGCGCGGTATCATCGTATGTGCGTGAGGTATGCGTGTGATGCGGTATGGTAATGGTGCGAGGTACCCGTGATGGCTGCGATGCAATTGTGGGAGTGCAAAGGATGCGTGATGACCAGGATGCAGATGCGATGAGATATGCGCAAGGGTAAGTGAGGAGATGGTGACAAGACGATGATAGTGGTACACGATAACAACCAAGAACTGGTGAACAAAGCGAAACAACATGCACAACGAAAATAGGACACGATATTAGGCACGAGGGGGTTACTGTTCATACAGCTGTCAATGGACACCAATACCGAGAAGACATCCAGAAAAGACGACGGGATAGAAAGGGCGAGACGAGGAGAGCCTGAAAGACCAAACGAGCGACCACGAGATGAGCGAACGAGCGGAGTACCGATACACGACAATATACACGTCCTTGGTCCACATGACGTAGGTGAAGAACGGAAATGTGACGACGGATATGCGCGCGCGCCCGATCCCCTACCCTGGAGAGCCCGAGACGACGAACCCTGAGACCGGACGACGATAAGCCAAGACCCATGGAAAGCAGTGGTGGTACAGATAATATACACGTAGGTATGGGTCCTTTTTTGTGCACATCGCTCGCGATAAGAATGGCGTTGGGCACGAGCATGTAGGTGGGTCGTAGCGTAATGCCCAGTAGGAGGGGATAAGGTATCGGACCGATTTCGAGGGTTGGCGATAGGGTAGGGTAGGCATTGAGGATAAGGATAAGCTTGCAGGAGATCCAGGTGCGACAGCATGCGACAAGCGAGGCAAATAAATGAGGCGACGGCAGCGCTGCGAGGGACTGTGAGGATGGTGCATCGAATGCGAGTGAATGGTAATGCTGGTCAGGAGGGGGAGGCGAGGGTATGCGCGATGCGAGCGAGGTATCCAGGTATCGACGATGCAGAGGGTATGCGTGTGAACGACATCGAACTGCGGACAATGGTGATGCGAACGAGACGACGACGAGGACACCTCGCACGTCACCCGCAACATAACCTTACTGCGCTCAATCGCGCGCGCCGCCAAAGAGGAAAAGCCGCTTGATGGGCTCTTCGACCTCGACCTCGACCTCAACGTCCTCCTCGACACCGTCCACAACTCTGCGCTCGATACGCTTCTCCTTCTTGGGGGCGGTGCGCATGATTGGATACGTGAAGGTCTCTGAAGAGTAGCTCCAAGTCCGCACTGCACAGCATACCATGAACGACCATTACAACCATCGACGGAATGAGGATACTCACTGGTTGCGGTGGGCCGCGCCTTGCCAACAGCAGGCATGGAACACGCCGCCTCACGAGCATCGTATTCGTCCCCTTCGCTCTGAGTCGCGGCAGTGTCCACACTCACATCACTGTTCTGGCGACTGAGGGGACTCCGCTTCCTGCCCGCGACAGACCCGGCGCTGAAGACGGCACTTTGGCTGCCCCAGGAAGTCCCGGAGCTACCCCCGATGCTAGAAACGCTAGAGTTGACACGACGCATCTTGACATCAGGGACCAAGAGACGGCCCTCAGCGCCTGGCTTGAGGAGAGAGAACTCGCGAGCAGAACTAGAACGAGCAGAGCCAGTGGGAGAAGTGGAAAGAGGCACACCCCGCACAAGGGAGCTCCGTGACTCGGAGCGCCTAGTAAAGGACGCCGAGTACTGACGGTAGAGCTCCTGAGTGGAAGAGTCGACAACGCGGGATGGGAGAGAGGGAGTAGAGGCACTGGGTTTGACCTCAGCAGCGGGCTTGTTTTCGCCTAGAGTCGAATGAACACCCCGCGAGCGATGAGGGCTTGCGACATAGGAACCGTAAGCACGGATGGCGGCATCGTCGGGGTCGGAACGAGTGAAGTCGCGAGGCGGCGCAAAGCCATATACGCTCGCACGCCACGCATTCGACCCGTCCGTCCAACCCGGAATGGGCTTGTTGTCATCCTCGGGGTCGCTGTGGACGGGAACGCCCCAAGAGGACTTCTTGGGCTTCTCAGGACAGAGGGCGGCTTGAATGCGGCGAGCAGCCATCATAATACCACCCTCAAGCCGAGGAGCAGCCTCCTCTGAAGCCTTCGGAGCCTTGCGGGTGAAGGGCGGAGGTGGGGGGAGAGGAGCGAAGCCATAAATGGCAGAGAGACGCGAGTACGCATCGGCACCACAGTCACCCTTGGGTAAGGGCGCGTGGGCGACGGAGGAGGTAGTGATGGGAGAAGAGGTGGAAGACCGCGACTCGTACGACGCACCGCTCGAGCAATCGCTGTCATCCTGAGACCCGTGGATATCCGAGACGGAATTTGGGGGGACGGGGGGGAGGCGAGGGGACACACACCGCTCGGGGTTATATTTGATGTCGATGGCGGAGTGGTAGGACTGGAGGTCGGCGAGGCGACACTCGTCCGAGCAGTAGAGAGGAGCGGGTGTCTGGTCGATCATAGTACGGTGGCGGACCGGCGCGGCTGGTTTGCTTGGGGGAAGCGCAACCGAGGTCGCGTCCTGAGATGCGTCCTTGGTGGGTGAGCGCTTGATCGCGCCGTTGGGCTTGACACGACCTGTGCCGTGGACAAGGCCCTGCGCGCGAGGGCGAATGGTGCCTGTCTTACCACGGGTGAGGCGAGCAGGCGCATCTTGGCGCGGTGATGTTTTGGGCTCTAGAAGGAAATCAGCGACAAGTACAAAGAGCGAGGAGTCGAGTGGTGCTCACGTGTGGCGGTGGGGGATGCGGGGGGGGCAGGAGTAGGCTGGGGTTGGATGGGGACGGAGATGCGTTTGGGAACAATCTGGCGAGAGCAGACGGGACACCAGATGGAGTCGAAGGGGATGTCGACGGTGTCCATGATGTCGGGGGAGGGCTGTCGGGGAAGGGGCGGAGGCAGCCCCTGCCCGGGTTTATAACTCACCTGTCCCTTCCGGCACTCGCGTCCCATTTAGTTTATTATTTATTTTCTTTCCCCAGAGCGTCTTTCGCCTGTTTCAACGCTCGAGATCAGATCTCGCATGCCCACCCGATTCGGCAGCCGCGTCTCATTGGACGCATAGACACCGATCCCGATTCCCAGCCTTTTGCTGGCCCAATAGCGCCCTCGCCCAATCAGCCCAGGCCTCAGACCGCCCAATCCCCTCATTCATCCCTCTCTGCGCCATTACGTCCACCGCCGCCCGCATGCTCTCCCTGCAGGCTGCCCATTCCCCGCCACCTTCATGCCTGTCTTGTAGAGCTCGTATCACCCCCACCTACACGTTCTCCTCACGAGTCTCCTCCTGTCGGCTTTGTGCCACCCTGACCCTCACAGGTTCAACGCTATGGGCAGCGCCCCCGGGTCACGCTCCCCTGCGACGGCCCGTCGGTTGAACAGGACCAGGCGCAGCGCGCAGGCGGATGGACGTCGGTGAAATCGCCTGCCCCGGATTTGCCGGCGAGCCATGGCGCGGGCATCTTCCTGCGGCAGTTTCCTCCTTGAGCGGCTGACTGCCTCCTACCCAATCAGGCGATAGAGCCTGCCGAAGTCCGGCACTCCCCGCACCCTCCCGAGCTACGCACGAATCAGCTGCTTCCCCGCGTTCCCCGCCCGTCCGTCTCCACCTTTCACGGACACGCTCGGGTGGCTGCACTCATCCTACGCTGGCACCCTCTCGCCCGCCATCCCCACCTCTCCGTCCTGCGCAATGCTATCACACCCGTCTCCGCATACTCCATTTTACCCCAGATTCCTACATACGAGCCTGTGTTTTCTTCCCGTCCAGCGCTCTCTCTCTCGACCAATCTGCGCTCAGCACAAACCGCCCCATTTCCGCCTGAAATGATGATCTCTCTCATCGGACTCGCCCAGCCCTCCCTGCATCTCACAAGTACTATGTCGGCTTTCTGTGATTGTAATAGCTCCGCACAATCACACTATCAGTTATCTGTGTGCAATCAGTCTGCGCCCACCATGTTCATCTCCCGTATCCGCGCGGACCGCTCCCCCTGCGCACGCATACCGGAGATATCGATGACCTGCGGTGCCTGACCTCTGCGACATCTCGACGCCGAATCGCTGATGTCTGATTGTTTTCCAGCTCTCTACCTAACGTTCATCGCGTCCGTTGACAATCCGACCTGACAAGTCGCATGTCGGCGTTTTATGATGCAGGTATCCCCGTCCATCGCCCTGCACCGTTACCAGAAACCATGGTCCCCTCCCCCATTTGCGTCTCTAGCACGTCCCCTCATCATCTTAGTACGTCTCTGTCCTTTGACCCCTGCTCTCACTACGGAATCACACTGCATGGGCCACATATCGCGCGCGGCATGTCGAATCTGCCCATGTCTTAATCGCGCGATACCGTGCGCTATCGCTGTCCCCCTCGCAAAGCGCCCGAACCTTGCTTACAAGAATATTCAGGTGCGGTCCTTTTCTCCCGCCGCCCAACGACGCGCATCTTTTCTTCCTACGCAAAGCGCAGAACTTCCCGCGCACCGCGCACCGCGCGGTGCCCGTGTACACATCCGCACCCGCCTCCGGGACCCCGCCCCGATGTTCCAGCTTGCTGCCCGACGATCCTCCCGCTTTAGGCAGACTCTCGCACTCTTTAGTCCACGATGCCGTTCATAGTCAAAACATTACATACTCGCCCCATAAATGAATGCGCTCATTGCTGATCCCCCGCGCCTTCCGCCGCTGCGTCGACTCGCCGCTGCGCATGACTCGCGATTCGCCTTGCGCCGTACCAGGCGCACTCACAATTTGTTACCGCACGACTGGAATGCCTCGCGCGTGCAGAAACAAACAAAGATACCACATATCAGACGAGGCTTTCCCGTTTCCGATGTTCTCGGAATGCACGCCGCACCCCCGCGCGGTGGTGCTGGCGCTGAGGCGCTCGGTTGTGGCAAGATGACTCCACCTCCTCCGTATGTTTTCCGCCGCCTCTCCGTCTCCGCATCGGATGTGGAGAAAGACGGGCAGATGATTCTTTCGGAAGAGCTTTGTCTGTAAACGGGCAAACGGCCTATATACCACGGATCGACATGGCGTTGAGTTCGGTCCGCTCTGTGCGGTGGGCAGGCTACACTTGGCTTGCGGCGAGCGCGGATGACAATGCGTGTTTGTCAGGGACGACGCGTACACGTATGAGATGCAATGCGTGCTATTTTGATCAGACATGAGGCTCACTACGTCGCGGCCTCGAGCTTATGTAGATGCCACAATGACGGCACGGCAGAACGCGCGGCACGCACACAGGCGGGTCGATTACGCTCCTTTGTGCTTATGGTTCTTTCGAACAAAGGCAACCTGCTGGAAGAGAGAACGCGTGTATCACGTCTTGCCATAGTAAGGCTGCGGAGGCTCATTGCACAACATCGAGCAAAGTAGGCTTGGTAGCAACTGTACCGACTGGGGACTGTCATCTCCGCCGTAAGACAAGGCCCTGTATGATATCATTGCGCGGCAGTTCTTGTACCGGAATGAAGCCCGTGGCCCGACGCACGCTAACGCGTGCTAGCAGGCAAGTGGGTCTTGTACCCAGGGCGCTAGGGACCGTCGCACTCCAGCCTATCACACTGCGAGGGCGGAATTGCATGTCGCGAAAACACCTCAAAGTTCCAGGGTCGAGCTCGCCACCCGTATACGCCCTATACCGACATCCTCAATGTACCTGACACCGGGATAGGGGCACGCGCAGGCAATGTGGCAGTCGCGTCGGTAGGCCGCCATCAGCCGCCACCTTGCAGGCAAAAGCCTCCGGCGTGTCGGTGCGGGGTAGCGCTCAATTGTCAAAAGTCTGATATTGCCCGCCGAAACAGGCCAGATTGTCCGCCGCCGACGACCAGGGGAGAGGGCTCGTAGCGTGGCTCGTCGCCGCCTAGAACACCGGAGTCGGCGTGCGATGAGCTCAGACGGCTGGCCAGTAGCGAAACAAGAATCGATGTGAGACCGTCGAAGTAGTTTGACACCTCGTAGGCGACGATGATGCGGGCTAGGCTGCTGAGGTCAACAAGCCTTCTCGAGGAAATTAGCAAACGCTCCATAGACGACATACCTCTGCACGAGGACGTATCAGGATATGGCACAACCATGCGCTGGACCGAAGACAGCTTTCTGTACTGTGGACAGAATCTGCTTCTTCGCTGAATCATACTGCAAGATCATCCTCGTCCGCTTTGATATCCGCTCCCGCTTGCCTTTAGGCTTTGTCAACGAAATATCGGGGCCCATGCAATTGATCTCGCTTGCTCAGGTCCCACCGGCGGCCGTCGAAGGTCTGGGCCGGAACATTCTTGTTGTGGTCTTGCTCTTCAGGCGCTGCGGCTCCATCAACCCGTTCGCCTATACATACCTCGCTTGGCTGTTGGTTTAGGCAGGCCAATAGGGACTTGCTTCCACTGGCTTTTAAGACTTAACATGTTATCCTCGCGTAGTGAAGGAACTCAGGGCTGTCATGCTCGTTTGGCGCGCCCTGTTTCATTCGCCACGCGCGTATGCCTTCTCATATGATTATGACCTAGGGCTAGTTGCATATCGCAGATATCATGTTCTAAATCCCCATCACCTGAGTAAATTGCTCCCCCATTCTCTGTTAGAGGCACGGTGACCGCCAGACACTCTCAACTCTAGATATGTTGCAATTGCAGCTATGACGACCGGCCAAAGCTCTGCTAGCTGCCTCCACCGTTACGCACGATCGGTGGCCCGTTGCGCGTGCCGATAGGTCCGGGGTCTAGACCGTCCAAACGTTCACCCACCGCTCGAATATGTGAGACAAGAGGCAAAGCATCATGTTATGGCGTCATGGCCGTCATACACCCGCCTCCACCTCCACCGCGATCCGCTCGACAACTGCTCAGTTGTTCTTGCTCGAGCTAAGTGGTGCTCGGCGCATGCTGGATGCGACGCGTTAGCATCTACAACGATACTAACGAATCTCCATGACTTCTAGTATCCAATAAATGCGGGGCACGCCTTCGAGTGGACCTACCGACGCCGTGGATCCCAAAGCATTCTAGAGCGCTACAAACGCATGTATATATGCTCTTCATACCTCCAGCACCTGGAAGCGTTCCTCTTCGGTGCCTACCATCTGAGCTAGCTATTGAATTGAAGAACTCCTGCGATTTCACAGTGATACCCTGGAACAAACGAGAAGCTGAACAAGTGCAGCACAATATCGCTATGTATGATACGGCGCTACCTCCCACCACAGGCCAACCCCCTTCAGGCAACATGGGTTCCGCGCTCCAAGTCGCTCGGGGCGATCCCCGCCTCAGCTAGCAGCCCGGGAGATGCCCGCTCGACCCTCGTCACCCAGCTACGCGCGCCGTCGTCCCTGCGCACGATGACCAACCGGCAAATCCACGTTCGCTACGGGAGCGGGAGGCGCGCAGCGGCTGCGTCGGGTGTCCCGATCCCATCACCACCGCCTGATGCGATTGGATGGCTCCGCGGGTCACACTCTGCCGCGTGCGCGATCTCGATCGCTCGTCCCCGTTCCTCTGCCAGCCAGCACTGCGGGGCGGGCGCTCGGTCGACGCCCGCGTGCTCGTCTCGCTTCGTCTTCGCGCGGCGAGTCTAACGGGCCTTCACTTATCGCTGTGGCTTCACTTATCGTTATGGCGTTCGCGCCCCCTCCCAGGCTCGGGTGCCGTGACCTAGTAGTAGGTTACTTATCTGCTGGTGCGTGCCCAAAGCCCTCGCAGTTCTGTCGAAGCCGCGAGTAGGCTCTCCGTTCGGATCCCGACAAATCTCTGTACGTGTACGACGCCAGCTGGGTGCTCGGCCGAGCAGATACGATAGCACGGGACTCTCTCCAGCACAGGCCGGTCTCGTCGCCCGTGCGGGAGTAGAGTGGGGGCGTACGCGTACGTACAAGAGCTGAGGAGGGCCAACGCCCCCTCAGCATCGCAAATCATCTCAGCACCGGTCAGCTTCGAATTTGTAGCTCGCCCCCTGTCCTGACGGCCAATGCAGCCCAAAGCCGAGCTTACGTTGGGACCCTTGCGAGCGCGGCGCCCAGGCGTGTCCTACGCGCGCCGCCGACGCCGCAGGACAAGACTATGAATGCTCGTGCGGGACGGTCACCCCTCGGCAGAAGCGTGTCGCGCTGCCGCCGGCTTTATGCACGCAGCGCCGCACGGTTCGGGAATTCTCCTGCACGACCCCGCGCGCGTCGCTGCGGGCATCGTGCTACTCAACGGTGCGTCCATTCCACGCCTCACGGCGCTTCCAGAGGCTTGTCGTAAGATGCAAAGAAGAAGGACGCGCCCCCTGCGCAGCTGCGAGCGTTCATCGAGCCGCGCCGGCTGCAGGCTATCCGCGCGAATTCAGAGGAAGGGAAAGGATCTGCGAATGTTGAGCGGGGGGCGAAGTCAGCGTTAGTACAGGCTCGCTGGGTGCCTTCTTTGCAGCGGTCGGCGGCCGACAGCAGGGGCTTAGGGCATGCCGTGCTGCCCGTCCTGGTAGCACTGACACTCCGGATGCATGGCTGATAGTACCCTGGCTGAACGTAGAACTCGTTCAGCCATTCCAGCCAGCGTTGGTGGACCCTGCAGAGGCGCACGCTTGCGTTGCCCCCTGTCGTCGGTATGTTCTTTGCCTAGTTCCGGGCTTGCTACTTATCTGACCTCTGAGCTCCGCTTTCACAGAGGCTATGATCGAGCCTCGCACTGTCACGCGCGAGGATCGACGGACGGCAATACGTATAGATACGAGATAGCAATTGCACCTGCAGCGAGGTACCCGGCAAGGGCAGACTGTTAGGTAAACCACCCGCAGCTGGGGTAAGACGTTCAGCTCAGTGGTGAACAATATTCTGTGAGGCCGTTCGTGTCGATGAACGGGCGATTGAATCGAAGTGATCGGGCTTTCTGTAGGCCAATAGCTGCGCTTCGGACGCCAATTGGTATGCACCCGTTCCGCGAAGCTTTCAAGCAGCTGTCAGCTCGGCCGGGACTCTGCACGGCTCCGCAGGGAGCTCCTCACACCCCCTTGGGCGATATCTGAGGCACCGATTCTGCAAGGCAAAGTCGGGCACATCGATGGTCGGAGCCAAAGGTGACACCGGTGAAGCTTCGAGTGCTCAGTGTGCATGCGCATCGATGCTTCCTCTCCTTCCTTTCGGGGCCTCCATCACTCAACGAAGCAGGTCGGCCTCTTCGGCAGGCTTCTTGTTCGGCCACGGGGGCAGCGAAGACGTACCGTCGTGCACTTCAAGCTCGCGCACTTGGTACTGGATGGAAGCTCCGGTGAGCCTATCTGAATGCTGCTCTCACCGAGTCCGGCAACTAAAGACGTACTCGTGGCTCAGTTTGGGACTCCGGTGAGGCCCTTCCATGACGATGAGAAGCACCCGGTCCATACCTCTGGCGGCCGAACAGGCTTGCAGACGGTCTCGCGGGGTCTATGCAGCGCATCCGGAGGCTACGTCATCGAGGCCAGTTTCTTGATCAACTGCGCGGACGATCGATTGCATGGTTTTCCCCGCAGGACCTGTCGATCGCATTGGGGTGCGCGATGTTCCGTCGGACGTTTCCTGTGTGGAATACGGCTTCCTTCTTGCTGTGTTCTGCAGCGTGGGGCAGCTCTGGCCTCGACTGGAAGCGATCGCTGTACACTACATTGACACGGTCGCGCTTCTCTTCTCTCTGCAGCCAATGCCCGACGCGTGGGAGCGCTGGACGGCTCTGATAGACACGCACTCTCCCTTCGGTTCTCAAGAGCTGTGGGCTTGGGAAGACATACGTGCACCATACCCCTTTCGTCCTTGGCACGCGGCCGACCGTGAGCGCACCTTCCTCGCCGTCGCCGCTGCGCTCGCTCGCATGCGTGCTCTCGTGCCCGACTCAAGCTCTCGGGTGCGCTCGACGTCGGACGGCTTCCCAGGCACCGTATCCCGTCGCAGTGGGATCGTATGCCCGCATTGGAGTTCTCCGCTTTCTCGCATGGTCCCAGTGTATCGCGAGGCCTCGCGCGACGATGAGCCAAATGCTCTGACCCATCGTCAGCGATGTTGGGTATCCAGGCGGCCCGCTCGAACCTGTCTCGCGCGCTGCGCGGCCAGCGTTCTCAGGCCGGGATCGCATCAGCCAGTCGCTGTCAGCGAGAGGGGCCAATTGGGGAGCGCGCCTTCTGCGTCTCTCACTCCATATGCTTCTCACCGTCGTACTCTACATAGCAAGTCCGCACCCGGCCAGGAGCAGGCGCGGCCGTGTACATGTCTGCCTGTCCCCAGGCTGCTCGGTCGCGCGCGGGTATCTGCTAAGTCCCCACGGGGACTTATCCGCCAGCCACTCAGCACCCAGCACTCCGCTCCGACACACGCCACACACCGTCCAAGATAGCAAGGGCAGACCGACCCCCCCTGCCTCCGCGCGAGCCCGGAACAGAGGGCCCACGAGCTCCCCGTCCGATGCCTGCGCGACTGTGGCTATTGACAGCTCCGTCCGACGGCGTAGATCAGATGTCTGTGAGCATAGTCGGCCACGGCCAATGGCTGAGCGTGCTCGCATTCAACAGCCATTCAGTCGCCCCGCGCATAGCCCGACGGCACTGGCCAGTTTATTGCAATGTATCGTAGCTGGCGCAGATGGCATCCGCATCTCTGATCTGGTGCAACATCTCCATGCCGTATGCGCGACCGCCCCACAGCTTCTATCGTTTGAGCAGCGTTGGTGTTGGGTTGGGGCCGACGTGTTCGGTTGTCAAGGGCTCTTTGGCCCCCCCGCGCGGCGTAAATCCAGGCAAGAGATCGACATCCATACACGATCCGGGATAGGTACAGCTGGCTGCTATGAACCTTGTGCGTGTGTACATGCGGCGCTCCTTCAGGTGTGTGGCTGTAGATATCTAGCACCGCACCCTCACTGCACCTTTCCTGCCTTTTCTGCCTCCTGTGGACCCCTGCCTCCTTGGACAAGCCACGCCCATAGGAGCAAGTAACTCCGTGTGCGCGGCGCCGCCTAATGAACGAGCTGCGCCGGGCCTGCGTTTCCGGGATGAAAGCAATGCTCGCAGAAGCACACCCCGCAGATGCCTCAATCCACGACCATTGGCCACAAACTACGGTCGCCATCAGCGCGCACGGTCCGTCGCACGTCCTTATCTCATACAACAGAACACATACATGACATACCCCATCCAGCAGAACACGCACCGCCGTACTCCGGGGACGTCGCAGCAGCCCACGCAGAGCGAGACGTGTCAGGGTGATTGATTCCGCCCCTGACTGTACCCCGGCGCGTCAGGCATTGCGATCCACACGCCCGCACTTGCAGCGCATCCCGGCGGCCAGACGATTGGTAATACAAGCGGGGATACGGAACCTCTTGGGGGAGCGCGCGCGATATCACACCGGTATGCGGGGAGGCGCACACGAAGGTTCATGCACACGTCCAAGCGAGCCCGATATCTCGCGATTTGCGATTGCGATTGCACGATGAAGTACCTCAGAAGGCCGGGAGGGGATGACTGCAAGCGCGCCCGACGCTGAGGCCTGAGGCTTCGACTTCTGTCCGGCAAAAGCGCGAGCCTGTGGACGTTCAGTATGCGATCCGGTACCTCGCTATACGCACCCTCGTGTTCGTATGATGACAGAGTACGAGAACTCACGTCGCCCAGGTGCAGGGGAACGAACGGGTCACCTACATAACATGCACGGACAAGGGGTGTTCCCGGCATCCGCCTATCGGCCGGCTTTGTCATACTGTCGTCGGTGTCTAGAGCGGTATGACAGCAGCGGGGACGATGACCACCTAAACAACCGGCGGAGGTCAGACGTTGGTCCTTGGCATTGCGCTCGGATACCATGCGTCTTCCCCTCATCCTTGTGTCGCAGTCTCGTAACGCTATCTGACGTTGACAAGCTCGATCATTGTTGCTCCAGTGGTACACTCCTCATATCCTCCAGGGCCACAGCAGTGATCTACCTGAGACGCGCTACTGTCGAGTAGTAGACAGATGCAGCTCGACGACATACTCACTTTACCAATGGAGTTAGCGCTACGGGGGATACCATAACGAGGCGCCGGGTTCTTCTGTCCGGGCGTTCGCAGCTTTGGTCTTCCCCCGCGCCCCGATCGGCATCGCGAGTAATTGCGGTCTTCTCCGGTTTGGCCGCTGCTCGTCGTCTGGCGTTCGGGCCAGAAGATCCTCGTGATAGTCACCTTGGCGTGAGCGCTGTAAACACGCTTTCATGTATGCGTAAGGGGAGGGCTCACCTAGCTATGTATGCTTACGCTAGCCTTCGAGGCGGCCCAGGAGCTATATCTATCGATCAGGTATGTCAGACATACAACGTCATGCGTGTATAATTGGGATAGCATCTCACCAGCGATCATGCAGCCCTATCTGAGTGTCCGGCAAGAACGTGGAGTACTAAGTGCGTATAGGGTGGCCATCAGCCCTGCCATTGTCAGAGCAATGGCGTCGGCAGTTTATCGGTAGATCGCTATGTAGCAGTTCGAATGGTAGCGATTGCCGGCAGGCAACACGGGCGACTCTCCTTCCCGCAGGAACACCGGCTTGCGGATGTGCCCGTCCCCTCTCGCCGTTCTTCGCTATTCTGTCCGCAGGACACTGCAGGCACCGGACGGACGCCAGTGCCCGCAAATACTGCGGTCGAAGGACCACATACTAGCTAGAAGTCGCTCGGCCGCCCAGCCGTGCAGGCACGTAAGGCCGGGTGCGCACAGGAAGCAAGAGATGGCACACACGGACTCCGAGGGATGAAGACGGCAGTCCCCGAGCCTGGTGCGTCGCGGACTTGCAAGTTCGGGCGTCCGGTCCTGGTGGCCTGAGGCACAGACGCTTGCTTGCAGCGTTGTGGCAGAGTGTGGCGGTGGTGCGTGTGCTCGCAGCCTCCAAATAAGTATCACATATGCGCGTCCATCTATCGTCGATGGACCAGCGATTGCGCTGCTGTTGCCTTTGAGAGCTTAGTGCAGGCTAAGTCCGAGGGCGTACAAGGCGATCTCCGACAGCGAGCGCGAGCGGGTCGAGGGCGGCGGTAGTGCGATGGATTGTGCGTGGGTGCTGAGTGCGGTGGCGGGTCCATGCGTTGTGCGACTTGGGGACAGATTCTTCAGGGACGCTCGACTCGGACCTTCCAGTGAACAATATTGTATCTCTGCGGCTGTTTGCGGTACCTGGAGGAGGGCCTGAAAGCAGCAGAAAATGAGAGGGTGACGTTATCACTAGCCGCTGTGAACGTATATGGTGAGCGTCACTACCAAGTGGAAGCGGGAGGCCTTATCATGGCGAAGGCATATGCTTCCGTCAGAGCTACCGTGTGTCGTCAAGCGGGCAGTGCATGCTAAGTCCTGGAAATCTCCGGATGCGACGGGATAGGGTCCGGGTCTCCGAGGGAGCTGTTCCGAGGTTTGGCCATGGGTAAGCAAGCGTAAGTACAACACTTGTCAGCTCAGGTCAATCTTACACGGTGCGTACGGGAACTGTTCTTTAGGGCTGCACTTAGAGACAAGCGGTGACGAGAATATATCAACTAGATGTAGCCGACAGTCCCAAGGCAGACGCACGGACGGGTGTCCTGAGCGGGAGGCTGACGCGCCCTGCAGCCGCAGTGTGCGAACATGTTCTGGCACATTTGTAAGTCGTCGACTAATTGACAGAGCGGTCGCCATTGTGCTCACGTCGGTATTGGTCACATCCTACACGCTACAGCTCCGGGCGGATGAGCTGTGGCATCAGATCAGAGATGTAAATCACGACCGTGTTTGACAGGACACCCACTTTGGATCGCGGAAGCGAATTTACTCGCTTTTGTAGATGGTGGTGTGCTTAGCACGCCGATGCGTCGTAGGCCTCCTTCCATCCTGGAACTTATCCCTCGGATGATGATCACGACATGTGGTCGACAGAAATGCAGTTACATGTTCAGTTGCTACATGTGTATCGTTTGTCACCAGGCGCAAGCGTCCTCTGCATATGCGGGGGGCGTGAATTGGACCGTTACTGCATCAACGGCAGGAAAGAGTGTGGTGTCATTACGAGAGCGACCGAGTTGGTTGTGAAAGAATGCTGTCATTTGGCTGATGTAGGGTTGAGATCCTTTCTTATATGCGCTGTATAAGAAGTAAGACATTTGGCATAGCTTGCAAGGCTATGATCGATATCGCGACTCGTGGACGATGACAACCGGTTATCTCTAAGGACACTCTGCTTCAGTTACTAAGTACACCCGGAGGCAAACAGCCGATGCCATTCCCTCGAATTTCACGCAAACCTTGGGGTAGGTGAGCGGAGTTCGCATCGTGTGCTACTGCCACACAGGCGCAACTCAGCCGTGTTCCTGATCAGCAGTCGCACACCTGTAACGGCATTGCCCCCGAGATTTTCATGAACCGCACTGAGAGCTCGGATTCTCACCTTGGGATATAACAACATATCTATTAGTCATCAATACTTTGAACGCCAATCTGGTGACACTTGAAGTGCGTCAGTATGGTCGTCCAGGATATTCCTTGTCCAGATGAGAAAAACATGCGGTACTGGCCGGTGATTCGTCAGTCCGCCTGTCCTTCAGCAGTGAATTTTGCAAAAAGATGCTCTTGTTGTTGTGTCTGTATATGTGAGAACGGACGCGAGGCGTCACCAGGGCTGGACAAGCTCATGTAGAGTGCAGAATGAAGACGGCATAGAGCCCGGTGAGGCAGCAGAAAGCCGCGATTGGAGACGGTCCACCTCGGACCGTCGACCGGCCAGGCCTCACCCGATTGGCTGGCGTCTGCACAGTCTCATGGACGCCTCGACATTCGGTCGTCCACCCTGTGACAACAAAAGCCTTTTTCTACCCCTTCATTCTCGGGAGCTTGCTTCTGAACTACTGGCGCTCTTCTATATGGGCCCCAGAATGCAACAATAATCTTCTTGCCTTACCCGATGGGCAGTCTGGACGCCAGTCTCACATTCATCGACCTGTGCGAGGCTTCATTCCTACATCGCCTCAGGACCATCTTCCGTTGCATCGGGTGCAGTGTATGAGCGCGGCGTTCAAATTCCAGCAGACGTTCCGGAAGGACCCCTACTGATCACGGCGCTCAAAATAGGCAGACAAAGGCGTAGATCCTGGGAGCAACGAAGCAAGGGACCGCACTGTAGCTAATCCTTGCTCCTAGCTACAATCAGGAGTACGTCTTTGTCCAGTCATTGGTGTCTTTGTTTCGAGATGTCCGGATCGCCTCGCCAGAAACAGCGTGCACGGAGAACAATCCAGATCGGGTTGGTAGAGGTCGTGAAGGGAAGGCAGCTCAAGCACACGGAAGTTCCAGGCCGTCGTCGAGTGAATACTGAGCTTTGCACTCCAGCATCGTGTCGACCCTGACTACATCGTTGACGTATGCCCCACTATATGTACACGACGTAGCCAGGTTGACAGCCGGGTCATAGATAATTCGGTGCAGTCTATGGTCTGCAGAAGGCGTATGATATGCATTCCAAGCTTTGGTTGAAACTGGACTCTGTACCGTCAGGCTATGGTGAGTGTCAGAAGCTTGCACATCCTCCGCCACTTTTCCGACGCGGATATGCTGAATCTTCCACGAGCCCAACCCTTCCGGGTCTTAAGATATGATGGAACTGAGTCTATCTACATATGCAGATGGAACACGCGGACATGGCTGTCAAGGAACTACGAGCCTTACTACTGGTAAGCTATCATGGATCGGAAGCTCTTTTCATCACTTCAGCATGCTCTTTTGCAGTCGAGTACTTACGGCCACTACAGCGCCGATGAGCACCGATGCTTCCGCGGCTGGGCTCTCGATTGCTCGCTCCTTGTCTTGTCGACTCGGTTGCCGATCGCGGTTAGTACGAAAGGGCTGGCTGAAATCATTCGCACTAGGCCGTTGAAGGAACAATTATGGTCTCTCTTTTGTCGCTCGTCTTCTTACTCGCAATGATGTATCGTTATGGTTGGGCAGTTATGGCCGTGCTTCCTCGTCATGACAATACTCAGGGGAGTGTCATACGGACCTTCAAGTCCGCCGGTGGAGCTGGACAAGTTCGCTTCGAGACTTATCTAGAGAAATACTTGTCAAAGCTCTAGTGTTACCTCTTGCACTAACTCGATCGTTGGTAGCGTAGCAACACAAGACGGACGGAGATGCGATCCTATAAGGTGGATAGTTGTAGGTCCATGCTCGCCGAAGCGCCTATCTCCGCCTCGACGCTCGAAAAGCTAAGCGCCCGATGCTTGCTTACTCCTCTATCATGATACGAACTCGTCTGCGCAGTCTGTGTTGCAGTTCCCGCCTGGACTACACATGCAAAAAGTACTGAGAGTGGCCTGGTGTTACCTTGCGCCACATATCTTCCGTGCACACGCCACTCAACATAGCGAAACGCTCCTCCTTGAAACATCATCCATCAGTGAATTGAAAGACATATGCGGATGGCCCTCGATGTCAGCCCTTCCGTTGACCGTGGTATTCCATACGCTAGAAGCACAGCACCGACGCCCGTATAACATGACACCGAGTCCAGGCATGTCTATCCGTCTCTCGCGCTCGCCCTAGACTCGCTTCTCACCGGCCGCCCGCACTGTGGCGTATTGACAGGTCGACCACGGGGCCCCGCACATAGTCGTTCTATAATCTTCTGTGACTCATGCCAGACGAGCGCACTGATGAGCCCTTTCAGATTTCCCCACATCTACACCCAGAGAACAAGGCCGGATATATTCAGCGTCAGCGTGCCAGGACGTGAGAGCGATCTGGTCATCGGACCCTCGTCTTGCGGGCGGAGGTCGCAGGGCGCACTCTCGCTCGACGATCATTGGGTCAGCAGACGAAGGTAGACATAGGGCCAGACTGACAAGTAGTTCGGGCACCTCGTCTACCGCGGCTGACACGGCCACGTCGAATACTGCCTCGAGTTCCTCTTCAGACTATTTCGGCTTCCGAGCTGTTCCGGTGGGAGACGGACTGCAAGAACGTGGATGCCCGCACGGAAAGGAGACGGGCATGTCTACGCGGTGCGCTGCCATTTGCTACGCAGAAGGGATCGGGGTTCGCACTGCGGGGTAAGTCCTTACATGAATGCATGACGGCGTCCTCGTGCTAGTGCCTCCGTCCGTCAGCTGCTGCTCATCAGTGCGTCTCCCCATTTACCCCGATGTCTGGATTTATACGGAGGCTTTGATCTACTCATTGGCCTCGCGACGCGCGTGAGGTGTGTGCTGTATCCAAACCGTTCGGAACACAGGGTGAAGGCAGCCATTGTAAGTACGTGAACATACCTGTGGTCTAGTATGCCAGGCTCATAGCGTCTAGAACGTCGCTGTGAGTCTAATCTGAACCTCTTCAGGGCAATCGTCCTTGCTTGTTGTATAGTAAGTACCGCGGACGAAGCCTCTTGATATCAGTTGCCAGCGCTGGAGAGGGTAGCAGCGACGGAGGCAATTGACAAGTAGGTGCCTATCTCCTACAGCTATCCCTACTTTGGCTAGCTGAGAATTCACGGAGTCGTGTCTATTGCAGGCCCGCGATAGATACCGGAAAGCAAAACGCGGCCGCATCAAACGCGTTCCATTGGACGCCGGCAAGTAATCTCGCGTGTCCTGGGCCGGTTTTCTAGTCGGCATGTAATAGCGTCGCTTCTAGCTGTCAGCCATATCTATCTGAGGCTGGGGCTGATCAATGAATCTGCCTCTTAGCGTCTTGCCGCGATACTCGTAGGAGAAGGTCGTATATCGCGGGAGCCGCCTTTTCTCAAGTCTGTTGGATGTAATCGGTCCATGCTCAGAATGATTCAGGCTTGTAAGACATTATCGGAACACCACTGAATACTCAGACACCGGACTTCTCGTTTTGATCCACGTCTGCAGTCCACATGTATGGGAGCGGAAGCAGCTTCGGCCGAAGCCCTACGCCTCATTCCGTTTCGCCTATTCCTATCACCTTCTTCTGCGAGCTTCTTCGCTCGGTACGAGGATCGAGTGCACCTTCGAGGCAATCTGGCAGCTAACCGAAGGGAAATGCAGGCAATGTTCGGACGGATTCAATGCCTCATCCCTATCGTTGAATTCAGGCCTTCGACAACTCTTCGGTTTTGCTGGACAATCAATCCCCGCACCAATCACAACCCTCCGGTGTTCTCACAGTAGATTTAGTTACCGAGAAGAACCCCACAATCCTGTAAGTCGACTTGTCTTGACGCGAACCCTGTAGGAACTCAGTATTAACTAGAACTTGCGCTCAGAAGCCTTGCAATGCGATGCGAATTGCGACCGGGAGTACTGACTCTCGTCATTGCTCCCAGTCGCCGGGAACGTCTGCCCTGAGCCCACCATAACCTGTCGCACGTCCGCCATTGGCCGCCCTCGCATGTGTGCAGATGCGAAGCTACTACACCCTCTGGCTGTGTAAGCATCCCGTACGTTGCTTGATCATCTCGTCAGCGCAGTACGTCTCTGATGTCCAGTACATCCGTCCATCAGCCTTTAGTCTCCGCTTCACGTACAAGGAGGCCGCCCTGTTTCCGCAGGGGACCCTGGGCAGCGTAAATGACATAACTATCAATGAACAGATGTCGTTATGCACTATACCTCCAATGGTATCCAGGCTCCTTGTTACATTCCAGTACTCCAGGCAATCCAATCGGCTGCCCACCACTCGGCCTCAGGCAGGGTCGCACTGGTCTAGTTGACATCCACCTGTGCTTACCCGCCGATTTTACGGCCTTAGCCGGACAGACAAGGCGCGTGTCAGCGATCTGCATACGCCGGTCAACTTGCTCAGGTCCGCCGGCTTCCTATTTACGCCAAATTCACTTTCTAGCCGGCGACCCAGCAGCCAATGGGTACGTGACGCCACCATCATGCATAGTGTTGTCCGGGCACCTAGAGGCGTGCCCGACTTAGCTCAAGGCAAGGCATCATAGGTACGTACAGCGTGCTGACATACTGAGGTCAGGGTCGCGGACATTCTGCGTCCGCGGGGGGCTATCTTCTCGTAAGGACAACCCGTTCTGGCGAACAATCTTCAGATGTTAGGTCTGGTTGTGGTATATGCGTCGCGCGTGCGCGGCCTGGGTTTGTTCCTTACTTGTTCCTTGCAGCTGGGATCTCGGAATGCTGATTCCTCTCGCAGCGCGACTCAGGGTAATTCGTATTCTAGGAGCGGACCGAGTCTGGCGCAGCGTGGAGACGGCTCCCCGTGATCCCTGCCTACTTGATGGTACCGTACACCATTAACTCTTACGTTCTTGAGCCAGAGCAAGCCAGATCCTTCCGCGCAGCTGAGACCGTTCCAGGATGCCGCTAGGACTATCAAGCATAGGTTGTGCACAGGTAAGGAATGGCGCACCGGAATGGCGTATCCTAGAGGTTGCTCTAGGAGCACTTCAGGCAGCTTCTGACACGATCAGATGACGCGGAGTTGCTTTGACCACTAGACGCTATGTCTTGCAGGCCAGCACGAGTCGCGAGAAATCTTGTCCATGTACATACTACTTGAAGAGTGGGTTATTTATACGAAGCGACTCGGCACGCTCATTCAAGTTATGTGTCCTATTGTTTGCTGCTTGTCTACAGTCCGTCCTAGGCAAGGCAAGCTTTACTCCTCCCGAAAGAGCAAGTCCGATTACATCGTACACCTATAGTATGCATACACAGTTTCATATTGTTGACTACTATTCATGATATCGTGACCGCGAAACGAAACGACGCGAACAGAAACAAGACAACACTGCATCGTAGCAGAAGCAGGAACGAGCAGGACCCATGTCTCATGCCGTAACCAGTCGTCAGATAGAACTGCGAAGCCTACCTTCGGTATATACCTTGTGCCCTCAGGTTGGGGGTGCGGGTCCCAGTTTGAGTATCACCCGCGGCAACTTCTTCGGTGCCGCCGGCTCGCCCTCCGCTTCCTTCTCGGACGCAGGCCCGTTTGAAACGTCCGTCAAGTCGCTCTCGTCCGACGCGGACGAGGCGGAGGTCGCTGCCGCATTCAGCCGGCGTCGTGCTGCTCCGGACTTCGCGGAGGCGGACTTCCTCCCTGGGGACGTGGCGGGACTTGGTCGCCCACTGCTGCTTCCCGGCTTGCGTTCGCGCAGAGTTCTGTCCGAAGCGGGAACGGGCGCGCGAGGCAGGGGCCCGAGCGTGTGTGAGGAGTCGATCGAAGTGAAGAGTTCGAGGGCGCGCGCCAGCCATGGTGGAGATGGTCCGGTTGGGGACGCGCGGCCGCGTCGTCGTTTCTTGGTAGCGGCTTCGAGCTATCAACATGGAAGTGTCAGGGAATCAGCAAGAGGGTTAATGGGGCCGAGAAGGCGTACAGCAACAAGATTCTCGAGGTTCCACCAGCTTTCGTCGACGCCGCTATCGCCGTTATCGACCAGGCCGGCGAGATGCGCCATAGCGCCGCTCGTTAGGGCGCGGTCGCTGTACCCTCCTTCGAGAACACTGATCAGCCGTCCTTTGGCATATCGCTCCGCGAATGCGCCGACATCGCGCGCGAAGCGGTGATAGAACGAAACTGGGACCTTGCGCTGGTGCCGCGACATGGAAGCAAACTCGTGTTCGCATGCATCGAAGCCACAGCTAGGTGGAGGCATGTCAGCCTTATCTAGCAATGACGATTGGGAAAGGTAGCAGACCTGATGAAGACCAAAACGTCCTCTCCAGCTCCGCCAGTGTTGTCGATAAACTCGCCCGCCTTCTTGATAAGACGCGAGTATGGGCCCGTGTACAGATTATCCCAGAAGTCTTGCGCAGAGGTATACGGCCGTAAGTGGACGTTCTCAATGTGCTGACCGTGAGGGCCGTGAATAGAGATGGAAGCAGCTTGAACCAACTCAGGTTTACCGTCCTCGCAAGGATACGATAAGATATCGTGTATGCTGCCATAGTAAATTTGTAGACCTGGCTTTCCTAGGGGGGCGCCACCCTCCACCTCGAGTCGTCGACGGTATGTCTCTTCGTTGATCTGCCAAGCGATAGATTGCGTTCCGTTTCCTGAGTATTCGGTCAGTTTGGTCATTGGTTCGTACCCACAAGCATTTACGCCTACCATGATGTAGATCAATATCAAGGATTACGACGCGATTGATATTGTGTCGAAGGTGCGCTGCAAGTGTATCAGTATTGAGGCTTTCAACAGTACACGGGTGAAGACGCACCATGTGCGGCACCGACTGCCACATTGTTCACAAAACAGAAACCAGAGGGTGTGTTCTAGTATTTGGATCAGCTAGTCTTCTGTGACCATGTTACAAAGGCGTGCTTGCCTCCCCACAATGGTGCCCTGGAGGACGGACTGCCACAAATGCTCGAGATGGTTTGTTAGCTCCATCTGAGCTTCCCAAGGTCGATTGGGAAGTCCCGACAATAGTGTCGACTGCTTCACAGATGGTTCCAAGGGAGCCTCGAATGGCATCAAATGAACCAGGGCAGACTAGGAACAACGTCAATCTCAGGCATCGCGTGCTTGAATACACTCACGATAGAGGTCGCCTTGTGAGTAACCTTCGGGTATCTCGCTTTCGCCTTTGTTCACCTTGTCCCGGCTCTCGAGAGCCCAACGCTTCAGATTCTGGAGATATACATCACGCTCTATATCTCCATGAACGAACTTGACGGCCGCATGGCTCAGAATATCAACAGACGCTTCGCTTTGGACGACCGATATTGGGACACGAGAAAGTGAAAGTGAATCAGCGCGCGATGCCGTGGTAAGCTGGAGTTCCCCAAAGGCTTCGGATAGCTCGTCCGCGTCCTGTTCTTGCTTGGAGGGGCCGCGAGACACAGTCTCGCACGGATGCTCCTCTAACCGCGCGATGGCCGCGGCAAGACCAATGTTGATGGCGCGGAGTCGTTCCGGCCGTTCGACGATGTTTGAACTGTCTCGCGATCGTATGTAACGGTGCTGAAGACACGCCTTCTGCAGAAAAACTGCCGTCCGAGTCATGGTGGCCTGAATACTGGAGTGTGGTTCGTGTTGTGCAGCGCTCTACGCGCTCGCGCGACGCGACGCGGTGCAATCCACGGAGAGGTTTTCGGAGTTTCAACGAAGACCATCTGAACCTGAATTGTTGTGTCGCGAGCCGATGTACCAACCGCTCTACCAACGCTTCCGACGCCGCCCATCGACCTCTGCTTATTTCTGTTCTCTTGTATGCTGTCCGTCTAACTGGCAAGTTTTCATACCATCGTCCCCATGGATCGGTTTCCCAATAGGACGGCGAGGAGTTGGTCTGTGTGGGCCGAGTCCAGAACAATGCAGCAAACCGCTCCCGCTGAGCCTGACAGCTTAGTCGAGATGCTCATGAACCCCGATTTCCTACCGCCACCTCTCCGTGACGATAGCGAGGTGCGCGATCATCCACCATCGGCATACAATGACCTCCCGCCTTTGGAAGACGAACCGACTCCCCATGATGTACCTTCTACGAGCAATGCGCCCGAAGACCACCTGGCTCCGCTGGATGGTGAAGAGCCTCCTCCGCTTGAAGACGATGGCTCGTCGCCCGTAGCCAGACCTGTACCTGCCGTGGATGTCGCCTCTACCGCGACAACGTCGAACTTCCCCTCCGCCCCTTCCAATGGCGTCCTCTCTGAGGCTGGCAGCGCACATGCCAATGCCGGTTCCTCTCGCCGGACAAGTTCTCGGCCAGCTGGAGGTGCTGCACGCCATGAAGACGATGGCGCAGAGAGCGACAGTAGTCTTCCTTCTCTCCAGAGTGTTTCTGATTCCTCGGACGAGGAAAATGACGACTACATCAATGAATCCGAGTCGGACTGGGACGATGATGAAAGCTTGGATGAAACTGAGGATGAAGCAAGCATCGCTCGTATGATCGAGGACGATTCCCCTCGCAGTCTGGGAGCGACCGTTCCAAACGCCTTCACAGATGCCGAGCCTCTCCTGACACCAGGCTTGGAACGATTCCCGTGGCAGTCGTATAGGGACCTGCTTGAGAGAGCGGTGAGTGAGCACGTGGTTTACCCGTGGCCCCAGCACTGAGTGGATAAAAGCAGAGGGGAATGATACCGGACATCGATGATCGCGTCCAAGGGCCGCCAGATTGGGTTGCAGAGATGACTGCACGTATAACCGGTATAGACAACGATCCTCAGCGGGCTGAGACATTGCTAGTGGGGATGGAGATTGTTCCGGAAGCGTTGGCTCTACGGTACGAGAAGCTGAGGTCGACCGATGGTGAAGACTTGGACGGCTGCGCGGTTTGTCGAGACGACCTAATCGACAAATCCTCGGATGCTGGAGAGGCAGCCCGCCTGCTCGAGGTGTTCGCCTTTCTCCCATTTGATCACGAACCAAACCACATCGTTGCATTCCCATGCTCAGGCAAGCATCTTTTCCACAGGAACTGCCTATTTCCTTGGCTTGCGCGGAAGACGACTTGTCCAACATGCAGGTTCGACATCGATCCACACTCCTTGACCCTCGGAACATCAACGGGCTCCCGCGATACTACTTCCTCCAATTCTGAGGCTGATATCGCTCCGCCTGCGCGTGTATGGCGGCCCCCTCAAGTGGAGAGCATGAGCGACTGGTTGGATGCAGAGGAGAGGGCTAAGAACTCGGGTTTGCCTCGTAAGCGACCTGAGGTGGTAATGCCTGAATGTAAGCTGTCCTTAATTCTGTAAACCCTGCCCACGCCTCATACGTTTTCAGATCCTGCACTGCCTCCACACACCCGCACAGGCATATTTGCTCGCGGTGCCGCACCTCCCCGGCCTACGCGACCTGATGGCGCCCCGCTTTCCGACATTCTTGACGAGGCACCGAGTTGGGGCTTTGATCCCGAAACGGGAGATTTCGACATGACGGCTGCGTATGAAGATATCCAGGTTATGCGTCATCGGTTCATCAACTTGGAGGCGCGTAGCCGACGGGTCGGAAATCTCATTGCCCAACTCCCCCGACCGGAGCACAACACTGACGTGCCTACCCGTTCGCCGTCTGCGCCTGCCGTGCCCCCATCTGAGGCCCCTCGTCGACCGGAGTCCCAGACGCGTCCTTCCCCTTCCCCCATGTTTCCCGGCCTCTTCACTGCCGCCCCACATCGCGTTGGCCGGAGTCTCGTCTTCGGACCCCATGGATCGCGCGCCGCCGAGGTCGTTGGTGCAAGGGAGCACGACGAGATGGCCTTGCTGCGGCAGGAGATCGCATCGCGTTTCTTGGGCGAGGAAGCGGCCTCTTCTAATGATATCCTGCCTTCGCCTACGACTGCTGAGCACGCAGCGGATCTGCGCAGCACGCCAGTCTCTCATGACCCGCCCCCGAACGACGTGGTTATCGATGCGCCCATCAACCTAGACTATCATAGTCGCGAACTTCTCCGCATCTATTTGGAGAGGAGAGGACACCATTCGAGTACACGACGGCAAGAGACCTCGACTACGGTCATAATTCCTCCGTCAGTAACAGGGACGCATGAGGTCACTGTCGTGCCAGAGGGGGTCGCTACAACTGTCACTATCTCCGTCCATGATTCGGCTAACCCTGTCGGGGGAGCACAGGGAGTTGCATCTGCGTTACCGCATGCTTCGGCTGGAGCAGGAGGCGTCCCTGACTGGTCAATCTACAACCCGTCCGACGACCTCGACTAGAGTACGCCTGTGCGTGCGCATCACATCCTCTGCCCATGGCGTTACGCTGTGGGTGTTTCCGCACTTAAAGCTCCCGTGGCACGACAGTGTTCGTGTTATCGCTTCTCGTTTGGGTGGTATGTTGGTTGGAATCCTTTGGAGTTCTATATACATTGTACAACGCGTCACTTGTAAATCCCTACCTCACAACCGCTATCCGCGCTATTCTCGCTTTGCTATCGAACACCGTCCTCGTATACGCGCTCCCCCACGTACAACGTCACATGTCCCACGTTTGTACCATCCCTTCCTAGACTCCTACGTAGTAATGCAATCGCGATGATGAACGTTCAACGTTCTAACAGCCAGGTGCATACGTCATATTCGCGCATATTGCGTAGTATGTGGGTTGTGTTTGGCATTCCCGGCGGTATAATCCCTCCACTGTGACAAAGTGGAGACCCGTCCCCCATTGGGGCCTATTGCACCGGTCGAGCGCATAACCCAGGAACCGGTGAGCTCGAATGCCCCCATCGAGAGGGGTTGGTAAGACGGAGAACCACAAGTGCCGGGCATAAACCCAAACTGCTCCTCACGTCTAGGGCATGCCCATGCGTGCGTCATAGTAGCCTCATTCAATCCTGCGTTATAAGACCCTCGCTGGCTGGCTTCACTCCCTCAAACCCAAACAACGACACAGCACCGCCTTCACATATCCACGCCTGAAATCGCAACATGTCCAACAACCGCGGCAACGACTGGAACAGCGACCCCAACAACTTCTCCAACACAGGGGGCCCTGATGCTGGCTTCGGCGGGCAACAGCAACAGACTGGTGCGTCGCGTTCTGCTCGCGCATGTGTCGCCACATGCTCAAAACATTCTCACAGGTAGCGACACGTCGACGTTCGGCTCCGACCAGTTTAGTGGTAGTGGCGGCCAGAACCAAGGTCAGGGCAACCTTGACAACAACCTGAGCGGCGGCGGCGGGGGTTTTGACCGCGCCGGCCGCGGCGACACCCTAGGCGACCAGTACCAGACCAGCGCAGGTGCAGGCGACAACTACGGCAGCACTGGCTATCCCGGTAACACGACCGGCACAGATTCGTACGGTGCCGGGAACGTGGATCAGTTCCCTGGCTCTGGCGCGGGTGCGCAGGACACTCAACAAGCCAACCAATTCTCCCGCTCCAGCGGGGGCGTAGGCGGCGGCGGCGGTCGCGGCTTTGGGGACGGCAATGACTACGACCAGTCGCAGTACGACCAAGGCGCTGGCACAGGCAACGAGCGTTCTACTGGCCAGAAGATCAAGGGTGAGTGTCTCACGTAGATGGCTGCGACGGCCCGCTGAAAAGAGGTTCAGATACTTTGAAGAGGGCGCTCTGAACAAGGTCGAGATTATTGCTCCCCATGTTCGCGATCGTAGTCGGAAAAAGCAAGGAGAAGCCTGTATAATATGTATCTGCAAGTGAGGTACGATGCAGCAGTGTAGTACGAACCGGAATGTACCATAAGACTCCGAATGCATCTATGAACGATTAAAGGGCGCGATGAGTGGCTAGCTTCCCGATGAGAAGCATTTGGTTCCGAACTCTAGTGATCGATGCGCGTGAGTGTGCAGTAGGACCTATGATGTAACTCCCATCTAGGTTGACTTCGGAGGCCCGCCCGTCAATGTCAGGATAACTTGCTCGTACACTCCGAGGAACACTGCACCCCCTGCGGAGATCCACAATGTCCGCGGAACGATACCGGCGAACAGGGCCTTCACACCTTCCTTGACATAAATGTCGCGGAACCGAGCCGCTAGCGACGGATGCGCGTGCTTTGTTGGGTCCTGCAACAACAACGTGAGTCCGACAACTCAATAAGAACACCAGACTAGGCGGTACGAACTCGTAGGTCGAGCATCACTCGTGTCTTGAGCACGTCTAGTGGAGTTGTAAGCGCTGCCGCGACGCCTCCGGCAATGCTACCGCAACCAGCGGCCTCGTAAGAATGAAGTGGTCTGTGAACTACCTTCGCCAGGCGCAGTTTCAATAGCTCGTACAGCGGGAACTGCAGCGAGGTGAAGGGGATCTGCTTGCCGAGGTTAGTGCTGTTTTGCATTGCACCTCGAGGACAACATATGGACCTCTCTCATGATGGTAGACCCGAAACCTCGGTAGAAACCACGAACGCCTTCAGTAGACAAGACATGTCGAGCTGCCGTCAGGGAAGAAGTTGCGCCATATGTTGAAGTCTGCATCCGCGTTTTGATGACTTCTGTGGGTACGCGTATTGAACATGCCGCCTAACAGATTACTGAAGCCTTCAGTAGGTAGGAGCACCCGATGAGCAATAATTGCACATACGACTTCTCCGATGGAGGCCGAAATCATGTGAGCCACGGGGGCATAGTCCGACGGTAGGGGAAGGGTCTTTTTGAGCGTGTCGTAGGTGCAGAAGAACACAGCAGCTGTAAGTGACGTGTAAATGTTGAGCTGCTTACAAGTGTAGAGAGTCAATGAGGTGGGGTACATGCGTACCTCCAGGTGCACTTCCGACTACTACGCTCCCGACGCCCTTGTAGACTCCTCTGAATCCCCCTGCGCGAATGAAGCCTTGCGAAGACTGTAGGCGAGTTTTGACCGTGTCGATGGGAAAGAAGAGCAGATCGACAGCGGTCCCTGCGGCACCACCAGCCTGCCACTAGATTAGCACGAACGGCGCGAAAGCTGGTGTGCAACAGCCATACCACTAACGACTGATAGAAAGTCGGCGCTGACGGGGTAGACATGCTCCGAAGCCCTGCTGTTATGACGCTTGCGTGCGCAATAATCAAGTTGCGGTGCGGTGCTGGAAGACCGAGACCAGTAGCACTAGTAGAGGTGGCAGATGAAGCTTAAGAGTGGCAGAGGAGAGCGTCGCGTCAGTCGCGTCTCGCGCGCTGTCGCGCGTCTGCCGCCCAGAGTCATCTTCGCGACCTGCACCCATTCCCTCGCGTTGGGTAGACTTTTAACCGTCTCTGTTTATTCCTCGTTCTATAGCTCTGGTGTCCGCTTTGCTATGGATGACAACTTAGAGCTACCAACATCAGCCCCCAAACCAGGCGCAGACGCAGAAAAGGAGGAAGAGGAGCAATCTTCCGGAGACGAGGACCAGGGTCCGGATTGGACGAAAATTCCGTGAGTCCCGCGCGTACACAGAATCGCGCTGCGTCTAACGCTATGCGAATAGTGGTCTCTCCACCGCGCGGCCTGTGATACCGAAGAGAGGAGAGAAGGATTTTGAACCTACCACGCACGGGGGGTCCGGTTTGCAAAGACATGTTCTCGACCGATCGCGTTCAGCCATGCTAGAGGCACTAAAGGCGACGCGTACCATCTCGAAGTAAAGTCATTCTTTTCGCCGCCCTTGAGAAAGACTCAGCATCCCCCACAGCAAGTCTGTGAGCCATGCCATCTGGTACCCGCAGCTGAAGCGGGCGCACGTTACGGTCGCGAGAGGCATTCATTTCATTACTATGGGTCACTCTGTCGCAAGGCCATCCGCCACGTCTGAAAGCGTGAAGAAGATACAAAGACGGTTAGAACTCCTCCCGGAAGAGGCGCTGTACTTGGTGGAGAGAGGCGCGATGTACTGTTGGAGCCCAACGGACCTGCCATTGCCAAAGAGCGAATTGCTCGATGATCTGGAAGGCATCCCTATGTCTGTTCAACAGGCCTATACGGAGATGATCGGGACAGAGGATCTCACCTTTGAGAGGTACCAGGTGCGTGGTCCTGTCAAGACACTCCACGCCGGCCTCACTGATGACATGTCAGGTCTACGCGTATCTCAAACGGCTGGGTTATGTCGTTACGAGGACCACACCACCCTCTCCGGACTACCCAACACCATCGTCAGCTGGTTCAACACAAGCTTTTGGGTCTGTTCTCAACAGATTGTACCGCTCGATCTCCTCTTTCCTTTCGCGGCTTGTACCAGTATTCGTTGGCGGACGCGACTGGTGGCGACCGATAACTATTGGTCGTTGGCTCCATCATAACATGGACAATAGTGAGTCTTACCCTTTCGCGGCTCTATGGAGTCTAACGATTAGCCTCGTAGCTTCGTTGTTCAAATCCCTCCGTTTCCTGTCATCCGGATACGACGTTCCCCTCCACATCCAACAGACACCGAGTGCACCTGCATCTTCATATCGGCTCTTTTATAACTTATACAAGCCGTCTACTCCTTTAAAGAAGACGGCTCCGCCACCACCCGACTTCCAAGTCGTAGTAGTTAAGTGCGTAGTTGACTATCTTGCAGACCAACGAATGGCTTACATCCTGCGACAGCGCGCGAACAACCCCCATGCCAACGATCTCTGAGCTCACTGATCTTTTCGGAGAGCTGCCGGAGCTCCCGCCGCCCGTCCCGCGCAAACGAGTGTCCTTCGCTCAGCAAAAACTGGCCGCCTCAGCTCCGACGCAAACTCCTGCTCCACAAACATCATTGACACCTGCGTCCAGCCAGGCGTCGCTAGCAAGCAGGGTATGGGTGTGGGTATGGCCATGGTCACAAGCGGATGACAAGGCAAAAGCTCCCCGCCCGACCAACCCCTTCCCTTCGCTCAAGACCGGGAAGAAGATGGTTGTTGTTGCTGTAGTGGATGCTGGGGCGATCAGCTTCTTCAGGTTCGGGCAAGGCGTTTTCACGGAATGGCCTATGTCGTGACAACGATCGTGGTCTCTGGACGCACATTGTTGTACGCGTAGTTGATGCTGTGTTGTTGGACGAATTTTCATGTCTGCTTTAGGTAGTCGTTGTCTCCAGTGTTCGCGATCAGCCTTTGGGTGTACACTAGTCATACTAGACCCATATGACGTTCATCGTATTGATTGGCTGAGTCGAAGATGGTATAGTAAGTTTCGGCCTCTTGATGGTCAAGAGTCTCGATGAAACGGGATGAAGCCGCTCGCGAACGTTGGTTGAGCCGAGCGACTGTATCCGCAGGTCAGTACAGTACCTGGCCGGGAGCTTCCGCGATCGAGCATCGGCCTTTCCCGACCATGGGGAATGGGGTCTTCGCGAGCGTTGTGTAATGCGGGGTAGCGCCTCCGGTCGGGCTCGGATGACGGACGCCGCTACAGTACTTACATTACCGGACACTGCCAGCCGACATCTGCGCCTACGTCCCCACATCTCATTTAGTGACCCGCATCAATGGTTTGGGTTAAGGTCAATCCAACTCGTCGTCCATGACGAGGAACGCAACTCATGACCTGATCAATAGCCACTGTCTCAATTCACATGCATCATGCCGTCTACGACGGGAAGCCATCTTCGGGGTTGATGGTCCCCTCCTGACGCTCAATAGTGCGGGGACGGACATCACTGACACATCTCCACTGACAACGTGAAACCCGTGGCCTTCTGCGCGCGGATGCAGTCAAGATCATGCGGTCTCTCATAATGTTGCACTAACTTCGCCTTCCACCGCCCGACGCACTCACTTCCCTTCTAGCGCTTTCACCGTCGCGACCGCGACAATGCCTTCATCTAGTGTGCGGAGACGGACCACGGTGGCCGCCTGGTCTGTTGCTCTGACTGCTCTCGTGCTTGTAGCCCGGTACCTGTACGGCCGCGCTGGAAAGAAGGGTGTCTATTCGGCTATGTTCAAGGACCCCGCCAAGGTAGCGCGACGCCTCCGCGCAGGAGAGGAGAAATACGATTTTGACGAGTATGACGTTGTCATTGTGGGCGGAGGTCAGTCAATTGTCGTCGAGCGCTGCCCTTCACTAATCGAGGCGACTCGTCTGGATAGGCACCGCCGGCTGCGTGCTCGCGGCACGGTTGTCGGAGGACCCTGCTATACGTGTCTTGTTGCTCGAGGCAGGCTCGAGGTTCGTGGTCTTCGTCTGTGCTGTTGCCCGAGGCGTTGAATCACGCGTGGGCACGCCAGTTCTGTCAAGAACCCATTTGCCATCATTCCCTCTGCCTACTCTAAGCTTCTCCATACCAAATGGGACTGGGAGCTGTTCACTGTCCCCCAGACCAATGCTGATTCCCAAGTGAGATATTGGCCGAGAGGTGGGTAGGTTGTTCAGTGTGCGTAACCATCAATTAACGTAACTTGTGCCATTCAGCGAAGCTGCTTGGAGGATGTGAGTCTTCCCCCCTCATACACGCGAGACCCAAGCTCAATCTTGAACCGTTCAGGTACTTGCATGAACGCACTCATGTGAGTGACTCCTGATTATAGATGATTTGATCTCTCATTGCTCTAGGAACACAGCTTCCACATCGGGGCCCCTGAGGATTACGACGAGTGGGTTCAACTACAGAAGGGCCAGCCAGGGGCAGAGCAGTGGGCATTCAAGGAGGTTAACAAGTGAGCACGATAGCCCGATTGTTGTCTGTTGCATGCTCATCATCTCCCATAGCTACATCAAAAAGTTCGAGACGTTCCATCCAAGTCCGGATTATCCTGAAGTAGATGCTTCGCTGCGTGGTAATTCGGGGCCAGTCCAAAGTAAGTGTTTCTGACAAGAGGTGGTCGGGTCCTGAACTGACTTCTACAAAAGCCGGATTCTTTGGCTTCGCCTCGGAGGGGACCAGAAACTTCATTGAAGCGTGCGCCAAGGTGGGTATACTCCGCACGCCTGATACAAATACGCACAAGGGTACGATTGGAGTCACCAAAGTAAGTCTTCCTGAACGCACATGGTGGTACGTCACGTTGACCCCATCGCTTGTAGGCCAGTAAGCCGTATAACTTGCCCAGTGTTTCCACCCTCCCTCACTGAATGCGCGGTACCAGTGACGTATATCACGCCGAACGGTCGTCGTGTGACCACTGAATACGCGTATCTCACCGCGGACGTGCTTGCACGGAAGAACTTGAAGGTCGTTACGCATGCCCATGTCACCCGGATCATCTTCGACCGATCAGGGGCCACACCTCGCGCAGTCGGTGTCGAATTCACGCACGGGAAGGGAGAGAAGTTCCGCGTGAAGGCGAAGAAAGAGGTAGTTGTGTCGTGCGTACATCACGTCTACCTCTCCTGTGCGATGAGCTGAGACCGCCTCTGATAGAGCTGGCGCTGTGCACACACCTCAGATCCTCATGCTGTCTGGCGTCGGTCCAGCGGATCACCTTGCTTCGCACGGCATTCCCGTCGTCGCTGACCTTCCTGGAGTGGGATCACACCTCATGGATCACATCGTTATCGACCTGAACTATCGTGACAAGACTAAATCCAGTATTCTCATACTCAAGGGCCAGACTTTCCTTCATAAACTCGCGCTTGTGAAGGCACTACTCGAATACCGCACTACTGGAAAAGGTCCTTTGACGACAAACGTGAGTCGTTTGTAAGCCCTATATATGAGACGACGTTTATCAAGGTCTTCGATCAGGTTGCGGAAGCGATCGCGTTTGTACGCTCAGACGACCCAGCGCTATTCCCGCCGAGCCAGTTCCCCGAGAAGAGATACGAAGACACAACGTCCGGCCCTGGCGCCCCCGACATCGAGCTGTTCTTCACGCCTACGGCATACCTCAAGCACGGCATGGGTTATCTGCCGCCATATCACTATTTTGGCCTACACGGCGTGCTCCTTAGGTACGCAAGGGTACCATCTGGCTATAACCGCACTACTAACCGCTTGGCCTTGGATTAACCTCACTTTACCACAACAGGCCCACAAGCACGGGCACGATCCGCCTCAAGTCGGCTAACCCACATGACGCACCCGTCATCGACCCGAACTACCTGTCCACGGAGCATGATGTCGCTATTCTCGTGCGCGCCGCGCGCCTCCTCGCGAAAATCCTGCACTCCGAGCCGCTTGCGTCCATGCTCGACCCCGTGGGCAAGGACGACGCGGTCCTCGACCATGCATTCCACGAGCTCGACGACGCGGCCGTCGCGGAGGGCATCCGCCGAAAGGCGGAGACGCTCTACCACCCCGCGTGCACGGCGCGCATGGCCCCACGCGAGGAGGGCGGGGTCGTGGACCCGTTCTTGAGGGTGCATGGGATCCCGAACTTGCGCGTCGTGGACGCGTCCGTCTTCCCGACCATCGTCAGTGGGCATACAGTGGGTCTCTCTCGTCTGTGCTGTGTACGCAGTTGGCCAGAGTTCTGACATTGTTGTGTGCAGGCCGCACCGACGCTCGCCGTTGCGGAGAAGGCGGCGGACTTGATCAAGGCGGCCTTGTCTGCTACTCCGCAGGTCAAGGTTGACCCCCCTGCTTGAATGACTGGGGCGACCAGAGGCGATGTATGCATACCCTCAACGGCGAACAGCAATCACTAACTACCATCTTGCCGACTTGTATAAGAGTGCTCTGTATTGTATTGTAACCTATCCCGCAATTACAACCCTACGTTGCAGATCTTATCCTCATAGCATGACGGCGGTCCAGGTCGCCTCCGCGTTAGTTTCCCAATCCTAGGTCCCCCACCGTTCATTCTTCTCTGTCGTCCTCAGCTGCGCCATCGCCATCCCACTACCCAAACGAGAGTTGGACGCGGTCTTTGCTGACAGCTATGCTCTCAAGATGTCACTGGACGAGTACTGACCGAGTTGACCGGGGGCAATCATCCTCGAGACCACGTCGTCGGAAAGCTCGTGAGTGAGGTGGAAGAGGCTGTCTACACGGTCTGCTACATACAGATAGACGCTACACCTCCTGCCATGAACTGGCATCTGCCAGCGCGTTACTACCGTCAGCAGCGCTGGGACGGAGGGACGTTCGCAACTGCATACCTGAAAGCAGGCCCGACTGGGCGTCGGACTCGGGCAGGGGGTCCGAGCCTCGCGACGCGCGCACAGAACCCGGAGACCCCGTCGGCCATTCTCCTGGCTGCGACACCGAGCGAGCCTGCGAATCCCGCGAGCCTTGCTGCGCCGACCCCAGTGTCGATTCGCGCGCCTCCAGCAAGGACGACCTCGACGCCGAGTCCGAGTCCCCTCCGGTCCCGAACGCCGCCCGCTGCAGATCGCGCCTGAATTTCTGGGGGTTGGGCACTGGCGAGCCGCACACGAAGATGCCACGAAGCAATATTGTTCGTCACTGGGATCGACGGCCGCTATCAATCTGTGAGGGAGCGCACCTTTCAGAGGCTCCTCTTCGTCCCTCTTAAGGCTCTCCTGCGTCATCGCCAGCATCTGTGCGATGCGGTCTTGGATGCCCGCCGTCCGCTTCTTCTGCTCTTCCACGTGTGCAATATACGCTGCATGATGCGCATCGCTGGCTTGGGAGCAGGCTTGGATGTGGTCGGTCACCTCGAGGACGGCGGTAGTGAGCTTATCTAGCTCTGTAGTAAGGGAGGAGACGGTGCTTTTCGAAGATGTTGATGCTCTCGACTCAGATGGAGTGTTTTGGGACATTGCGGGGCGATGATGGTTTACGACGACGATCCCTAGTCGCGATGGTAGTGGCGGCTTACTGACATGTGCACGGCGGAGCGCCCTTGCGCGCGGTGAAGTAGAGCAAACGGGGGGACATGCAATTACGTTGAACGCAGTACGATAGGCAAACCAAAACCTGCTACCATGTCTGGTTCTGGCTCTCCACTCGCACCCTCAATACTCCGTCCTCGTCATCCACACCGAGCCTATGATCTAAATTAGATCAACTTGTGAACATGCAAGACGATGATACCAACATACCAAAGCAACCCGCGATGGATACCATACTGGGCAGAGGGAGGGATCGATGACTCGCGAAGAGCCTCAAGGAGGAAAAAATTGCAAGATGAGGATGGGACGACAGCACCAGAGTAGTCTGAATCGAGTTTCGCAGAGGCACGAGGCCCCTATATGCGCGAGCCGCGAAGTGCACTGAAGGACGTCGCCATCCTGTCGGCCTAGGGTAGCTACCCCGAGGCCCACGAGGAGAGGGCGCACGCCCGATCCCTGCGCCGTATCCCAAAGTCCGCAGTCCGTCCCTCTGCACCGAGGCGCTTCTCTGGGACCCTCGAAAGGGAGGCTGCGCAGGCACTGGGTGCCCACGAGGCCCCGGTGGTACTGTATTTCTGGTGCGACGCTCAGTCCGTTCAGACTGGACCCAGCTAGAGTCGATCGAGAGGAATTGGAATGCTCAGACCTTAGCCCGCTCACGAGTGTGGAAGTCCGGGTGGCGACACCGGACTGTCCTGTGCGGCGTGAGCCTCGCGGCTTTGGTGCTGTCGTCTTGGAGGAACTCGCAGAAGGAGTCATCGTCGCAGCTTATGTAGTCCAGCGCCGATACATCATGTGATCTCCGACGTGAGCGCTCAGGTGCGTCGCCGACGTCACCGCAAGAAGGCCGTCACGATCATCTCCGTGCTTGAGTCGACGTCTTTCATTTGGTCTCGCTCAGACGACCGCCTATCATGGCCACGCCGACATCCCCAGCGGCGGCCGACAAGCCATCTGTTGCTCTCGGACTGCCCTCCCATGTTGCGCGATAGCAGTCGGTTATCGTCTGGGATACGGAAGTGTGGGAAGGACGCCGCTGCACGGTGCCAACGTCCATCAGAGCGGGGTTTATTGAATGCTCGCTGCTGTCCCTTTCCCGTCTTTCGGTCGCGCATCGACATCACGTATTCGCAACTGCTCGATGTCGCCGCTCGGGACGAATTTGATTGGCCTAGGCGCGTTCCGACATCGACATCCTGATCCCCCGCCGTCGTCGGTTGGGAACGCGGTAGCAACCGCCACCTTACATATCCGTCTTCTTCCACGCGAACGGCACCTTCACCGCTTTCCGGAACTCCTCCTACTGTGTATATAGCGTGCTTGAGGTGAGTGAGTGTCCGATCCCCTGCGCTCTGGACGTCATACCCTCTCTGGATCTGACTTCACGTCATCGCTCGCTTCTTGCACGTCAACCCGTTTTCTACAGACTTTCTGACCAGGTGTCACGCGCAGAGACGCATCTTGACCTATCCACGAAGCTCCTTCCACCTCCCCTCCTTCCCTCCCCTTCTGTTCCCAGCGCGGAAAGTCTAGCCATGAGCAGCCTCATAAACTCCGTCGTCGCGACTTCCTCCTCTTACCTTAAGCCTCCTCTCTGCACGCTTGCTGAGAAGGCCGCCACAAGGTGCGTTTGACGTTGATAGCATACCAACGGCATATCGTTTGACGCGACTCCGTAGCTTGCTACGCGATATCTCGAATGGCACATTCATAATCCATACGCCTGGTCATACCTACACGTTCGGAGAGCAAAGGAAGAAGGAACGCCTCTTCCACCACCACCATGGATCTAGCAGTTCCCAAGCGCCGCACGCGGAACTGACAGTGCTCAACCCGAACTTCTGGCTGCGCCTGTGCGCAATGGGGGACTTGGGCTTCTCAGAAGCTTACATGTACGGCGAGATTGACTGCGAAGACCTCGTACAAGTGTTTCTGGTACGCATTTCCGCCTTATATACGACGCGCTACAACTTTTCCACGTCAAACCTCGACCTTCTGACCACGCGAACACAGGTCTTCCTAGCGAACCGAGCACAGCTCTCCGCAATAGACAACTCGTTCTTTACTCGCATCGTGGGGAACTTGCCCGAGTTGGGCCTAACCGCCCGTATCGTCAACACCGTGACGAACGCGAGGAAGAATATCAGTGCGCACTATGATATAAGCAATGGCATGTTCATGGGTAAGCGTTCTGCAGAACGAGTGTCGGGCGGCTGCATGCGCTGCCTGTTGGGTGTCTCTGATTAACCTCATTCTCTAGGGTTCTTATCCAGAGATATGACGTATTCCTGCGCCATCTTTCCGGAGCTGGACAGCGACCTGCGCGACCCGCCAAGCTCCCATAGTCTTTCCCCAGAAGAGGGCCAGACGCCTTCCCTTACCGGCGCGTCAACCCCCGCGACGCTCGCGGAGTCAGAGCATGGCGAACTGCTCAAAGATCTCTCATTGAACGTGTACAATCTGTTCGCTCACCATGGCGAGATCCGACATGCACATGACACCGAGTCACACGACCCTCTCGAGGCTGCTCAACTGCGGAAGCTGCAACACATAATTCGCAAGGCGGACATTCGTCCAGGCCACAAAGTGCGCATATATTCGCCCATCTTTCAAGATTGATATTCTAAATCCTGATCAACGCGCATATAACTAGGTACTGGAAATTGGTTCGGGCTGGGGATCGATGTCCTTGCTCATCACTTCGACAATCCCGGGCACAACGGTGGACACGCTTACGCTCTCGACGCAACAGGCGGAGCTCGCACGAGCTCGGGCTGCTGCTGCTGGGCTCTCCGACCGTATCCGGGTACATCTGATGGACTACAGAAACATGCCCTCGGAATGGGAGGGTGCTTTCGACCGTCTTGTGAGTATCGAGATGGTTGAAGCTGTCGGGAAGGAGTACATGGAGGTACATTCCTATGCATGTATGCATGCTCTTTCAGCGGGCACTGATGGATGCGTATGGATCAGACATACTGGTCCAAGATCGACTGGGCGCTGAACAAGGAGACTGGCGTAGGTGTGGTGCAAGGGATCACCATCCCTGAAGCGAGCAAGTCGTCCACTATGTGTTATTTGAGAAGTCGCATCCTAATAGGCCTTCTTACGTGCAGGATTCGAACAGTACATGCGTGAAGTAGACTTCATCCGGAAATGGGTCAGTCTCTTCTGGATCGACTGGAAGCAATCTAATGAAAGTTTCTTTGGATTGTCGGCCGACGTATGTCGTATCCTATAGAGTGAGTACTTTGTGAACGAGGTTTGAGAAGCTCCTAAGTTCCTTTCGCTGACGATGGTCTGTGACAGTTTTCCCCGGAGGCTTCCTACCCACCCTCACCTTCCTCGTCGACACCCTCACCAAAGGATCACAAGGAAGACTGGTAATCGACTCGGTATCTAACATCGGTCCGCACTACTCCCGCACGCTTCGTGAGTGGCGCAGACGATTCCAGGCGCGATTTGAAGACACCATTGTCCCAGGTATGTCGTTGTAGCTCCTATCGAGGACGGAGAGATCACACCTCAACTTGCTCTTCATTATAGCCCTGAAAGCTGAGTATCCAGGTGTGATGGACACGGACGACGTATCGGCACGGGCAGAAATCGAAGTGTTCAGGCGGAAGTGGATTTACTACTAGTACGTCACCTCAAGGTGCTACATTGAACTAGCTGACCTATCTTTCGTTCAGTTGCTACTGCGAGGTAGGCTTCACGACCCGACGCCTTGGTGGTACGTTGCTGTTGCATGTATTGGAAGATGTCGGAAGCGATGCTAACGGGTCTCCTACGTAGACCACATCATTACGTTCAGTCGAGAAGGCAACCTCGAGTATGGCTGCCAGGTTGACGAGTAGTCCCGAACGTGCCATCATTGTATAACATCGTCTCTGTAAAAGGCAGCTATCACTGCTGACAATGTCAACAGCATCTCACACATTCATGGACTCTGATTCATCCCCGAACACCAGGGGCATCACCATACAGATAAGGGAACACAATATAATCCGCAGTAACATAGTCGTCGAATCAAAGCTGTCCGTCGTGACGCTCTTCTATCCTGCTGCCGTCACCTTCTCGGCCCACCCGAGCCATTGCCGTACAACTTCTTGGACAGCTTCTCGGACAATAGCGTCCCAATGCGATGCGTGAGCGCAGACGCTGCGACCATCTGGTCCGGATCCAGTTGAGATCCTTCTTGCTCCAGCATATCGTACACGTTCTGCAGTCCCTCCAGCTGTGCATACGCGGTGTTGGCTCGCTGTAGAGGCCCCGATGTGGTATGCCCACGTTCTGTGGTAGAGGAGCCTCCGCGCAGGAAGCTCGCAGGTGCTGTATGCGTGCGCGATGTGTGCTGCGGCCGTTCACCAAGTTTCTTTTTGGAAGGGATGGGGACGTCGTCTGCGTCGGCAGGATCATCAAGCACATCTGTGTCGTTCGGGCGTTGTTGGTCCCGGTCCTCACGTTCCTTCATGAAACTCGGGAGCATTGAGTCGTCATCGCCTTCGTCGCCTGATGGTTGACTGTCGGGGACGGTGTACATATCGTCATCCGCGCATATAGGGACTTCCCAGGCGTCGTAGTCGTCAGAAGACCGTGCTACTGCTCTTGCTGCATCCGCAGGCGAAGGCACCTCGGGACTAGGGATTCGAGCTCCAGTGTCCTTTGACGGCTTTGGCGTGGACGAGCCGGCAGTGGACGTGCGCCGCTTGGGACCCTTGAACATCTCGACTTCTACGCCATCGAAGCGCCACTTGCTGCGACGCGAAGCTACCGAAGTCGCAGCGGACGGTCCGCGCTTTGACGACTCCGCGGATGCTTCAGGAGGTCGCACGGTTGGTGATTCTGTCGGCGGCGACAGCCTGCGGCGCTTGACGGGTCTATCCGAAGGTGCCTTCGGTCTCTGATGGGTTACACGACTCGATGGGCCTGCAGCAAGCCGTCGCGCGCGCAAAGCCTCCGTCGGGGAGCTTGGCACGAAATCCGAGCTTCGGCTAGCGTCACGGTTGCTTCCTCTGGGAGGTGTGGCAGGCGATGCGGCCTCCGCGGGGCCATAAGAAGCTTGTCGCTTTGGCCCGGAGCTGGTGAGAAAGGGGGAGACATGTGTGTTGTCTGCAGGCGTGGTCATCTGCCGAAGAGGAGACGAGGTGCTTGGCCTTCTTCGCCCTGAAGTGGTATAGCCTACTTCCACGGTGGTTCGAGGAGACTTCACAGGGGACGTCTATTTTGTACACGTCTGTCAACCCAATGCTGGCACTTTATTGGGCGGTGGAGAGCAATACGTACCCATGCCAATGAGCGTCCATCCGTATGCGACTCCGTGCTCAAAGAAATATCCACAGGAACGTCGATTCCGAGAACATCGTGCGATGCTCTGAGTGCGGACTTGATTTCCTCAGGATATGCCCCATTGAGATGAGCCAACGAAGGTTGAACATCCTTCCAGAAATCGCAGAACGCGAGCGGACCGCGACCAGGCTCAGGTATGCGAACGAAGGCAGAACATAGGAACGGTGCAAGTGCTTGCAGGGTATCAGCGGAAATGGGTATCTTCTTAAGCGCATCGAGCGCATTGCAATATAGCGGAATAACCTAATGGGGGTAAGTGCATGAAGTTAGGAACAAGATCGGCAGAACTCACAACATCGTTATGCTCCTGTACGAGAAGCAATTCAGCCTCGTCGCCGATCCAGACAGCCAAGCCGTCGGCAAGGCACGAAAGAACAGCTAGTATAGCGTTTGTAGGACATCCTTCCAAGATGCGTCTGATATGAGCTAGGGCCTGGACGGCCGTTGAAACGTTCTCCGGCAAGTCGGTATAGAGATCGCGGAGAACGGCACCAACACCCCACAAGAAAATTGACGTCCCGCAGACCTCGCCCAGCAACTTGAACGACGACAGAAGATGCAGGAGCATCTTGGGATGATTCAGAAGCCTGTATGTATGCGTCCCGTCAGAGGTTAGGCTGCGTTCAATACGGCACACGCTCACCTTATGGGGGCCTGGAATCCTCGTTCCACAATGGCATCGAAAACAGCGAGACACGGTTCAGCTACTGAAAGGGCCTGAGAAACGGCATGTGTCAAGATTGCATTCCAGATGGACAAGTCTGCTTCGTCCATTGTCCAATGCCTGCCAGATGGTTAATTAGTTTCGTTGTCCGCATCATCTCTGATCATCTCGCGTACCGTAGGGGAATTGTGAGAAACTCGACAGAGTTTGTCCAGCTAGGCACGGGGTCCCTGGAGATCCATGTGTCCGCCGCCAGTAGCCATAGTCCACGCTGAATGTCGACCGCCTGATGCTTCTTGGTCTCTGCCACCAAACGGCCGATGAGATCCGGGGCGTTGGCCGAGACGAGAAAAGAGCGCAGCTGGCTCCACGCTGTCTTCACGTCCTCCAGTGAAAAGTCGAACGTGTGACGGACCACACTGCCGAGGAGTGATCCTGAGGCGGATGAGAGCCACGAGTCCGAGAAGACGTTCTTCATGACGTTCCAGAGTTGGCTGCAGAGGCATAGTACGCGACGCTGGACGACGTTTTCTGGCAAAGGCGGACGCTTGACGTCGGTAGGCGGACTCCAGTCAAGAAAATCCGCAACGACCGACACGACAAAATTCGTCGAGTCGGGAGAGGATGTCAGATGCGCTCGCCCTTGTGTCAAGTGGGTCTGTACTAGGAGAAGGGCCTGCCAAACTTGCACCAGGACGTACTAAGCGTACACGTTGAGCCAAACGTTGTAGATAAAGGGATGCGTCTACGTACCGGAAGCTCTGTAAACTCCGTTCTCCGGAGTTCACGGCGAACGCTGATGGCCCATATCTCCAGAAGGTCCTTCCACACCTGCTGAATCTCTTGTTCACGCAAGGATCGGACGGCTGATGAGGGTATACGTGCAGTCTCACGTATAGTCGAACAAAACACTGCTACATCCACCTCGAGTAAACGCCGAGAGAACATAGCCTTGATAGGGATGTCGTCCGGGGTCCAGGGTGCAGCTGTAGTAGTAGATGCGTCTTCAGCAGTGCCGATCGCGCCGACCAGCCGTTCGAGGACGACGACACCGTTGCGATATATGTCTTCGGAGCGGTGCGAGATCATTTCTTTCAGGACAGAGGCAACCCTGACAAGGTCGGGATCGGGGGTGACAGGCGGGTCAGCCGGATGCGCATGCAGCAGGCTTACCACCAGGCAGATTCCCATCCCTCCTCGGAGCTCCTGCTTCAGCAATTGAAACGCAGACCCGCGCAGACCCCGAGTCCTAGATTCAGGTGATACATCGGCCTCCGTGTGCTCTTGAGGGCGGTCAGCATCTCTCGGAATCTGTGAGAACGCCCAGATGAGTGCTCTCCAAGCACATAGGAGAAGCTCGTCCCCGGGCTTCTTCTTGCTGTTGGCGACCTGCTCTACCGTTCTTATGACGAAGTTGCGTAACCTTACGCCGGCGAAGACACCGTGGCCGGAAAGGAGGATTAGACAGCAGATGACTGTAACGGCCCATCGCGGACCTGAGAGGGGAGCTCCTGAGGTATCCTCCTTGACCGCACGATCAATGAACTGGGGTAATTGGGCACCGGGTGGCGGGCGCTTCCCCAGGTCTTGTGGGTCTGCGTCAAACAAGAATTTACGCACTTCCCTGAGAATCGCTGCCTTGAATCTGGTTCGGGTAGACGCCCAGAGGGACAGCGTGGCGCAGGAAAAGCCGGAGAGCACGATTAGCCCGTCCGCGCGAACGGCTGAGTCAGAGGAGACTAGCCGAGACATTATTCCCTGTAGAGCATTGACGGTATCGGGAAGATATAGCTGCGGATATTCGGACCAGAGATGGTGCAAGATCTGGTGCGATGTCAGTCCAAAGTCTAAGGAACGGGATTGAGGCAGACTGACCTTGGAACCATCGATCTTCGGAGACATGCCTGCTACGAGCTCACCGATCCAACTGACCACCGCGGTCTGGTTTTGCGACATGACTGTGGCGGGAAGTCGTATACCAGCGAAAATCCATGATGCAAGGGCGCGGGTCCTATCGCCATCAAGACTCGGTAGATCAGAAGACCGCGCCACTGCTAGGACATCGACGAGTAATTGTGACAGGATCGTCGCTGCGTACGGATTAGCACACATATATCCACCTCGAATCGCGTACTCACGTGCAAACAGTTGGGATAGCGTGGGGAACCTAAATAGAAGGGAAACAATCTGTATAGCCTGCTGACAGACAGCGGAAGCGTCTCGCGCTGCGCATGCGAGATCTTCATGTGGCTCGCTCGGCGGCCGCGATACGGTGGCGAGAAGGATGTCATTGGCCGACTGGGACGTTGTAGTGAATGGGTCCTCCAAGGCACGGCGAATGTCGCATTGCAGACGACGAAAGAGTGGACTAGAGGATGTCTTGAGGGCCTGTGATGGAGATGCCGTCGAGTTGTTATCCGCTGGTGAGGCACAGATGGCTCTAATGCGAAGGGAGAGCGTAGTGTATGCGTCCAGAAGATCGTGAGCCGTGATGTCAAGCCCGGCATCTTCAAGGGAGCGAGACAAAACCAGTATTGGTGATCGTAGATATGTCGGAGATATCAGGGGACGTTTATCAGGCCCTGCACGGTCGCAACCTCCAGTCATGGCCCCTGTTGGCGGTTTCGCGTGAGGTCATTACCGTGACGCTGGAGGAATGGCAGTATGTTTGAAGAGGGTGGTGCACTGGAGATTGTTGATGACAAGCTGAGCTTGGCCTCCGCAGCGCACGAAAGAAAGATGGGCTGTCCGTGCCGGTGAGGGTGAGGGTGAGTTGTGCTTCCGTTGACGTCCACAACCACAACAAACTTGGCCTGCCATATATGGACATTGAGGTCCGGAAAACAGGGCGCCAATAGAAGACAGTAAGTATTAAGTAGACTAATACATTATGTAGCTTGCGAGCGCTTCGGTGCTGCCGGCCGCAGCGTTACCGCAGGCTCCGCAGACGACCCTCTGCGAGCTACATCTATCTTGACATCATTCTTCATCCCTTTTCCTTTCCTTTCCTTTCCTGATCGTTCATTCCCCTGCGAGGTCGTGCCTCATGGTAGGCTTTAAATACAGTGCTATCTACGCGCGTGCGGGTGGGGTAACTAGGCGGAACATAGGTGACCACTAGGCTCGTGTCTTCATCCCTTCACCCTCGTAACTGTAAGGCCTGTATCCTGCCCAGTTTCTGTTGATCCACGCGCCTAGCGCCCAGCTCCCCCATTCAGAAGAAAATATTCGAGGTACAGCTTGTCATGTTAAGTGTATGCAACCAGTCCTCTCATAGATTCACCATGAATTACAATATTGAAGCCTTACGCCCTCGGATTTGCTACACCATCCTTCCAGACAGTATTGGTCAAGGATGCCTCGCGAGTAACCTACAACGGCGGTTATAACCCGAAGGGGGATCGGGCCATGAACCTCCCTTTCCTCCTGCACGGGACCGGGGCGAGCTCTCGTTCGGTTTGGACGGAGGTGCGCGCTTCGCCTTGCAGCATTTGCTCCGTCTGGGCACGCGCTGACCTGCCCACCTACAGGTATGGACAGGATTTGTCCCGGGAGACACTTCGGGCTCGCAGCGGTGTACATGAACGTCGCGAGCGCGTTGCACGTCTTCGATTTCTCGCCGCCTGTCGACGTGCATGGCCGGGAGATCAGGATCGAGCCGCGCATGGTCAGTGGCTTCGTCTCCTAAGTAGCTACCGTCTTGCGCTGCACTGTTGATCTAGGGCTGATCCACAGCCTGGGACAGACGAGCCGAAGACGCTAGGTGTACAGTCAAGCCGCGTTCCCAGTGCGCCAAGCTCATTCGAGGTCCCGGGAGATCTTGACGCGTAGGAGTGCTGGCTGCGATAATCTATTTTCGTGGCCTCAGCATTCAGTGGTGCCCTGAACAAGCCGGCTGGAAGGATAGTCTAGACGATGGAGAGAGAGCAAACAAACCGACGAGCCTTCTCGAGCTGCCCTGCTGACCTCCTATGTCACATATGTCGACGTCCAGAATACGCACATGCATACCGTGCCAGCGAGCTGTCAGTCAGACGCCCGAATGGAATGGGAGCTGTGGACACGTGTATAATACGGCTTCTTACTAGTCAACTCCTCACTCCTCCTGCAACTCGACTTCACGTCGCTCAACCCTGCGCATCATAGCGAACAAGAGAAATAACTCTCGCATCTCCTTTTTAGAGGGACAATCCAATCTGGAATACTTTCGCCGCCACTGAAATTGCGTGGCGTCCAACTTTGGGAACATCATTGCCAGAAAAGCCGCAACCTTGTGTGTAGGGTAGACCGGCGAGTCGACCACGTCCAGCGACGTAACGAGCGACGCGTTCGGCCGGACCTGCGACGCCACCTCTTCAATACGCTCCGGTATCCAGGAGTCAAACAGCTGCGAGTTGCTGAACCATACGCCGAGGTGTGTGAGCTTGGGGCAGTGCACGGCGAAGGGCAGAAGTGCGTCGACGATCGTAACCGGATGTGTCTCGTCGCGCACGCAGATATCGGCCACGCCAATGTCGATCGACTCGAGGAGAGGCCAGGCTTGAGCTATGGCCGTATATGCCGCGCCGTCCAGCACGTAGCGTGCAGCCATGGAGAGCTCAAAGACAGCGAGGTTGCTTAGCTCGAAGAGAGGCTGCAGATAGGGGAGACAGATGACCGCTTGGTGGTTGGGTTGTCTGTCGGAGACGAAGAGCTTGGTGATCATGGCTGGTGAAAAATTTGTCGGGATTGATGCAAATAAACGGAGGATATCGCCATTGTCGGGGGTGCCCTCTACCTGGATCCGCATGGACGCGACGCGTGGAAGGGCCGTTTTGTCGGAGAAGTGGATGTAATCCGGAATGATGGCGGTGACCGTGATGTCTCGTAGACTAGCAAAGCCCTCTAAAGAGTCAGTGTCGGCGGAAAGTGTGAAGGACCGCGGAAGACGGATGGCTAGCTTGTTGAGATTCGGCAGCCTCGAGAGGACGAGCAGACCATCTTCGGTGACAAGAATGCCATTGCATTGAATGACTTTCAACGCGTATCGATTCTGGATGGCGGAGAAGAAGAGGTATGGCATGACTGGATCCGAATCATCACCAGGCCGGCTCTCGAATACATTCATATTGAATTCTTCAAGAGATCCAAAGCGGCTAGCGATGAGGGAGAGCGTAGGCTGAAGATTGTCCCCTGACCGAATGGCAGACAAGCGGAGTATACGAAGATTGGGGCTGAGGGATCTCAGAACGACCGGCAGTTCGCTCACATTCGTATGGGTTCGGGACCACTCGAAGATAACGAGATTGGGGAAGAAGACGAGGGTAGGATGGAAAGCTGATAAGTGATACAACGCTTCCTCGGGACAAAAATCATGTTGCGAAAACTGGCGGCGAGGGCCTTTATGATGGTATCGTGATGATAAGTGTCGGACTAAGCTGGAGTATTTGAGGACCCTCGTCCATTCCTCTGGTGTCAGTGGACGATTGAGCTTCTGCATCGCGCGGGACGTCAGACTATAACTCGAGCTTCCACACGTCTGTCTTACTTCAGTATGTGCGTATGCGTCCTGGGGAAAGCAGTGGAAAAACGGAGAGATGTCGGAGAGGTAACACCACAGAACTTGAATTGATGGTTCATGGAAGGCTTTGCATGTCCGTGCGAGCCTGGCCAGAGTATGATCACTGGCAAACGTGCAGATCATTTCCCGTATCTCTGTTATGGTCAACGCATGCTCCATGCTAGTAGAGTCGCATGCAGTTTGATTGAGACAAGTCACTGTCAGGCTCACATTCAAAGCGAGGATCGAGAATCACTTACTTGCTCCAGTATCAGCTATGTCTCGACAAGGAGCACAGGATGCTACGGATGCCCTTGTTGAAGCAGGCACAAGCTGAGGTAATTAGCGCCCATAGGAAGAACCGCCGGGCCGACATCAGGGGCGGGCCTTTGAGCCGAAGATACGGGCAGCGCAGAGAGCAAAGACTGCGAGGGGCTCATAAGCATCATCGCGCTCTCGACGCCATGAACATTTCTCCCGGCCTCCTCTGGCCCCTAGCCGACAGCGCCCTTCTTCGACGTTCGACGTCCACGTCGGCACTTCCTGCGCCGTCCCTTTACACTCACACTCGCTCTTAGCTGAGCGACGTCCATCTCAAACGCCATGCTTCGCAAGCTCGTGAACCGTCGCACTATCGCTGCAGTTTCTGGTGCTACTGCCGTCGTCGCAGCTGGTGGATACTACTACCTCAACTCAGGGCCCACTTACCCCCCTTCTACCAAGGAGTCTCGCCGTCCGCCCCCGCTATGGACGCCCCCCTCTCGCGAGCAAATGCTCGATGCGCTTAGGGCCTCCGCTAGGGACCCCCATCAGGAGTTCGACCTCCTCGTCGTGGGGGGTGGGGCGACAGGGGCTGGTGTTGCGTTGGATGCCGCTAGCAGAGGGCTCAAGGTTGCGCTCGTTGAGCGCGATGACTTCAGCGCAGGTGAGTTTCACGTTTCTCATGAACGTGCGTCGGCGATCGCTTGTCCGGGAGGAACCTTGAGAAAATCTCGCCTGAGCACGCATCAGGGCCATATCGGCATCAGCCCCAGTGGGCACCCTGTAGCCAGTAGGGATGAAGCGATAGGCATGCATGCACAACACAGTGCCGCCTTAGTGAAACTCGGTCGGATCTTTGGGCCCGTCCCCCGAATGATATGCACCTGTTCCCATTACTCAATGAATTTATGTGCCATAATAGCTGAATGCACCCTTGTCCCGCAGGAACATCCTCCAAGTCGACGAAGCTCGTTCATGGAGGCGTACGCTACCTCCAGAAGGCCGTAATGGAGCTAGACTACGAGCAATACAAGCTTGTCGTCGAAGCTCTGCATGAACGACGCATATTCCTCCAGACGGCTCCCTATCTCTCGCACATGTTACCGATCATGTTGCCTATTTATAAGTGCGTCTACCGTTTCTCCGACGTTTATAGACATTCAATGTAGGAAATCCCCCAGATATTGGCAAGTCCCATATTACTGGGTTGGATGCAAAATGTACGATCTCTTGGCCGGAAAAGAGAATATGGAGTCGTCATATCTCATGAGCAAGGGCAAGGCTCTTGAGGCCTTCCCGATGCTCAAGCAAGACGGCCTGGTCGGTGCATTGGTTTACTACGATGGTATGTCGCGACCACACTTCTACGACACGCATACACTAATGCCTTGGTACGTGCAGGACAACATAACGACTCCCGTATGAACATAGCCCTCATTATGACCGCTGTGCAGCACGGCGCGATCGTCGCGAATCATGTCGAGGTAACCTCCCTTGACAAATCATCCGCTTCGGGCAAGCTGCAGGGCGCACGCGTTCGCGACACGCTCACCGGCAACGAGTGGGACGTCAAGGCTAAGGGCGTCATCAACGCGACTGGTCCTTTCTCCGACGCCCTTCTCACCATGGACGACCCCAACCACAAGCCGATCGTTCAGCCCTCCTCCGGCACGCACATCACCCTGCCTAACTACTACTCTCCCCGGACGATGGGTCTTCTCGACCCCGCGACATCCGACGGGCGCGTCATCTTCTTCCTCCCGTGGCAGGGCAACACCATTGCGGGCACGACCGACACACCTTCGGAGGTCGCCGAGCACCCGCGCGCCCAGGAAGACGAGATTCGGTGGATCCTAGAGGAGGTCCGCCGCTACCTGAGCCCGGATATCAAGGTCCGTCGTGGGGACGTGCTCAGTGCGTGGGCGGGCCTGCGCCCGCTCGTGCGCAACCCCAACGCAGCGAGCACCGAGGGCCTCGTGCGCAACCACATGATCCACGTGAGCGACAGCGGGCTGCTGACCATCGCAGGTGGCAAGTGGACCACGTACCGCGCGATGGCGGAAGAGACGGTCGACAAGGCCGTTGAAGTGTTCGGCCTGAAGCCCAAGAGTGGGTGTGTCACGGAGCAAGTGCGCCTTATCGGGAGCGACGGCTGGAGCAGAAACATGTTTATTGGTCTCGTCCAGCGGGTCAGTTTAGTCTGAAATGTGTATGCAACGTTCGCGTTGGACTGACTGGACGGTTGTGCGTTGTAGTACGGCCTCGAGACCGAGATTGCGAAGCACCTCTCGGACAACTACGGCGACCGCGCCTGGACGGTGCTCTCGTACGCCCAGCCGACGGGCCAGGCGTGGCCCCTCCATGGCATCCGCCTCTCCCCCGGCTACCCCTGTACGCTCCCTCTTTGACCCATCCTCATGTCGACGTGACTCATCCGTACCCCCTTTTTTCTCCTCTTAGTCATTGAGGCCGAGGTCCGCTACGCCGTGCGCCACGAGTACGCCGAGACGGCGATCGACGTCATCGCGCGCCGCTGCCGTCTCTCGTTCCTCAATGCCCAGGCCGCGCTCGACGCGCTCCCCCGTGTCGTCGAAATTATGGCCGAGGAGCTCCACTGGCCCGCTGCACGCACCAAGGCCGAGACCGCGGCCGCGACCGAGTTCCTGCTCAGCATGGGCCTCATGCCGGGCGCGACCCCGCGCCCGACGTCGACCGAGCCGAAGAGCGTGGTCGAGTGTATGGAGACCGCGCTCGGAGTCAAGACGGGCAGGGAGAAGCGGCTGCGGCGCGCGGCGCAGGAGATGGTGTACAGCCGGGCGCAGTTCGAGGCGGGCGAGCTCGAGGCGCTCAAGAGCGCGTTCGAGGCGCGCGCGAAGGCAAGCGCGACGACCCAGGCGCAGGACGTCGGCGAGCCGAAGTTGAAGACGGGCGAGCTGTACGAGCTCGTGAAGGGCTTGCCGGGATTTGATGCCGTGCGGCCGAAGGATTATGAGTATGTGATGGAGGAGGTTGGGTACGCGCGCAGCAAGGACGTCGATTGGAGCGAGTTCATGGAGGTGAGTTGATTTGCGCACAAACTTGCTCGCGTCATCGGTTACAATGTACTGATCATTTTATGTATCACTTCGCAGATCTGCGCCGAGCTACGGGAGGTATTATTCGCGCCTGCCCCGTCTCAGGACAAACTCGAGAGGCGGAGGATACCGGTCGAGAAGAGTGGCGGAGGTGTTTGAGTGACCAGGATCCTTCATACGCGTTCGCGTCCGATGATCATTGCACGTCGTTACGGCCTCGTGTTATGTCATCTATCATAGGATACTCAGCACGAGATCCACTGGGCACAATAGAACCTTATTCGGCACTGCATACTCAACGCCAACATTATCATAGATCGAGGAGCGAAATGATGACAAACAAATCACACGATAGACATCCGGCGGGAAAATGCTTCATTGTCCAATCACGTACAGTAGACGATATGTAGCATATAGGCATGTTCGAGAGAAGAGATACAAAATAGGAAAGGGTCGATATGTAGTCATACAACAAGCGACATAGCCACGCCTAAGCCCGGAAACAGTCCCTGAGCGGATGCTTCAGGTGCGCTCCCCGCGGAGACGACGCGCGAGCGCGAGATCCTTGGGTTGGCTGGGAGACGAAGAGTGAGCATCCCTCAACTCGCCACTGTCCCCAGGAACAAAGAGCACGTACATCGTAACACGCTTGGCGTGGATCGCAGCGAGGTTAGTGTCCTCAAAGAGGGAGACAAGGTAGGCCTCAGCGGCCTCCTGAAGAGCCATAACAGCGGAAGATTGGAAGCGCAGGTCGGTCTAAAGAGGGAGTGGAGATGCGGTTAGCACCTGACAAGGCCATCACTACCGTCGGAGACACAGTGGGGCGATGACTCACCTTGAAGTCCTGGGCAATCTCGCGGACAAGTCGCTGGAAGGGCAGCTTGCGGATGAGGAGCTCCGTCGACTTCTGGTAGCGACGAATTTCACGGAGTGCGACAGTACCCGGCCGGAAACGATGAGGCTTCTTGACACCACCAGTGGCCGCCTGAGCGCAATTGAGAGTAAGGATCGAGTCGTGGAGATTCTAGGCAAGGGTAAGACGTACAGGGGCAGTCTTACGAGCAGCCTTGGCTGCGAGCTGCTTACGAGGAGCCTTACCACCAGTGGACTTGCGAGCGGTCTGCTTGGTACGGGCCATTGCTAGAATGTCGTTCGGAGGATGTACGGGGAAGTGATTGAGGGAGGAGTAGTGTGCGGTGAACTTAAGCGGATGGTGGTGGTCGAGAGGAGGGTGGCCGTTAGCATTCAACAACTCGCGTCGGCAGTATATATACTCTGGACGCGGTCTGCACGTGACTGACGCGGGGAGGACGCGCCTGTGGCTGTGCACGCACTCTTGTTGACGCGCCTTCGGGACTTCCGGCGCTAAGAGTCTCCGTTCCGTTCTCGTCCAGCTGCGCCCTCCGCTTAATACTCCCGAGTCCCCCGCACCTTGTCCTTTGGCTCGCATTGTTCCAATGACCTAACGGCACGCTATGTGTGCTCTTTCTTGCAGCCCTATGGAAGATGGCGTTCGTGTGGGCGGCACCCCAGTAAAATGACCGGGCTCAGGTTATCCACCTACTAATAGCAGTGGACGGGATATATGTATACTGCTCATGTCACCGCATGGTCAGCCACAACCGTCAGCCAATACACGTCGCACATATATGCGAACCACACCACCAACTGCGTCTCCGAGTCGACCGACTCGTGTGACAGCCTCTCCTCTTGGCCTGGCCTCGGACATGTCGACCTACAACCGAAGGGACGTTCAGGCACAGCCATTGCTTGCCCATGCGGAATGTCGGCCCATCTCGCCTTATTTCAGGTTTTGCCCAGCGGATCTTGCGGCAATCAGTATGTTCCCTTCGCAAACTTCCCCTCTCTAGGGCTCAACATGTCGTTTGTATCTAGTTGGCGCTATAGCTTTCATACTCTACATTGTGTGGGGCATCAATCTGACTATACGTCTGTACAAATACCTTCGCGGAAGCATGACTACATGGCGGCGACGCCGCATTGTAGTTCCTGAAGACCTGGAGCGAAACTTTCCATGCAATTCTCAACATGAAGGTAGGTAGCAGCTTGCACCTTGTTGTCCATTTGCGCGGCTGTAACACAAGCGTCGCTTACAGCCAATGCCTCTTCTGCATCCACTCTATGCGAAATTTACTGTTCAAACGGACCCAAATACAACGAAACTCCGAGCTATCCTCTTGACCACAAGATCAAGTTTGCCTTGGACCAAACGCGTAGGACCAGTCTCAGGTTCCCTGACTCGCATCGCTCTTCCTCGGCTCCCGGCGACTCCGTCAATTTGGACTCATACTCGCCTCCTTCGACACCAGGGCTGCTCAACTTCGACGAGTCAACATTCTCTAGTCGCTCCTCTCTCATGACTCCACCTGGGCTAGACGACTGCGACTGCGACCCCGATATCGCCGCCAACAGTCAAATACTCAACAGTCCCCCTCCCGCATACATGGATCATCCGTTTGGCAGGTCGAAGCTTGTATGCAAGCCGTGTATGTCGTGAACGCTGGTCACTATGGATAACGGAGAGGGAGTTTGAGTCACCATGTACAGTGGCGTGTGTGAATGTATACGCCAGGAAAGGCATTCGTCGCTAGGAAATTACGTCCGCCCACCCCCGACATCCACTAGCAGCACCGGCATCTCAACCCGTCAGGAGATCCCTAACGTCCACCGTCACGGGTCCTGATCTTCCATGCCATCTTGACCTCCTTCCCCCTGCGCTATGCGGTGAACGGTGAGCAGATTGCCCCCTATTCGCGATGACGACTACAGTTGACTGGTGACCACCCAAGTAAGTCCCGCACTAAGGAAGGAGCCACAGGGCACTTCCAGCCTTGGACCACGAGCTGATCACAAATCCTCTCGAGCTCAGATGTCAAGACAGGATCTGTATCTACGCGCGCGACAGAGCCTCTGCATCCTCGCACGGACCGGAATCTGGATCTCGTGAACCCCGTCTCGCAAGCCAATCTATTAGATCCGCGGGGCCATCCCACAAGCACCCCAGCCAACCGCTCGCCCGATGACAGCAGCCCAGCCAATTGCGCATCGATGACAACACCGCGCAGTTAGGCCGGCCACAGAAGTGCGGGATAGCGCGCGAGAAGCGAGCGACGATGCAGGCGTAGCGTACCTTCTCGTGCAGCCTCTCACGCCCCTCAAGAACTCGAGACGTAATGTCGTGTCCATGCCCATGCCCCCGAGCCCTTCTAATGGGAGCGCAGTGCGCATGCCGATCGGGCGACCTCGTCCCTGGGCCGCACCTGTCTGCCTGGCATGCGAGTCTCGGGCATCGCTTGTCTCAAAGGGTGTCGCCAGTGATCAGAACCATGAGAGAGCCAACGGGCGGGCGCACGCTCATCGGTGAGAAGGCACAGGCCTTCTGCGAGTAGAGGGGCGAGGACTGTGCACGATCAGGAAGGGAGGCCCCTAGACCTCCGAGTCTCACGTGGCGGACCATAAACACGCTGCATGCGCGTGTCGGTGGGTGATAGGGATATGTATACGGCCCATCCCCATCTCGCGCGGCGCGGACGCACACGTTCAATCCTGCTCCAGTCGCCCCCACTCAGATTGTCTTTGTCTTCATCTCTCCACCACACTTGAACGCTTTGCCTCGACCCCCCATCTAGGATCTCAATTCCCTTTGGCCGACCTCTCAAGGCGAATCACAAGGCGAACAGGATGTATCTCTCCGATATCGCCAGCGAGGCGTACTACTCCCATTCGTCGCACCGCCTCCCGCGCACGCGCTCTCGCGGTAATTTTGACTCAAGCACCCTGTTCTCTGGCTCCCAATCCGGGATCGGCGGGCCCGCGCGCCGCACGAGCCACCTGCACCGCGACCACCATCGCGACCGCACGCGCTCTTCGCCGTCCGCTGCACCCACGAGCATCCCGCTCGACGACAACTTCGACGCATACACCACCGAGGTCCCGACGGAGTGGCATGCGGACGATCCCGACGGCGACGGTGGTGGCAATGGCGACGGACACACCGAGTACGATCGCGACGAGAGCGTCAGCGGGTACCGGAACTACGTGACGGAGATGGAGCGGATGCTCGCGGGCCAGATGGAGAACGCCGCGCGCGCGCAGGAGCGGCAGTACCACCAGTACCAGGAACGGCTCCACCAGCAGAGCCAGAGCCAGAATCACGACCAAATTCAAGATCAGAACGAGCACCGCGGCGGCCTCAATAGGAGCGTCAGCTTGAGCGAGAGCGGCCGCGGCTCGTCGAAAGTGGGCGGCGGCCGGCGGAGTCTCGCGAACCCACAGCAGCTGCAGCTGCCGCTGTCGCCGGTGCCCCCGCCGGAGAACGCGCGAGAGGTTTCGGGTAAGAAGGGCCGGATAGAGCTCGTCGAGCAGCGGATTATCGAGGACTCGCCCGTGCGCACGATCTCCCTTTGGCGCGAGCGCGTCGCTGCGAACAGTGCTGGCGGGACACGCAACGGGGAAGACGACGGAGCGGATATCCATGGGAATGCCAGATCGCGCGGACACCGGAGGGTGCCGTCGAGCGGAGCGAACTCGGTGGCGGACACAAGGCTTAGGAGAGTTGTGAGCGAGCGACCGAGGTATGCGGAGAGCATGGAGGGAAGCGGGATGAGGAATGGAAGCGTACGGGGCATCGAGGGTGGAAAATCAGGGAGGGCGACGTACGAGCGCAGCGAGGTGAGAATGCGATTGACGCATCGCTTGCGCGGTTGAGCTAACGATCGCGGTCAGTACATGGTCTCGTATAAGCAAGCGACGACGGGCGGGATGCCCAAGGAGCTGTTCTCCCCCATCTCGCAGGCGAGGGATGTCATGACACCGACCAGCCCGACACTGAGCAGAATGCATTCTCCGCCATCCCCGTCGTTGCGTCGTCACGCCCATCGGAAGTCGCTGGAGAGGAGCGAGGTGTGTATGATCCACCTGTGTACGCGTATATTGTGATAGCTCACAACGTCGCAGTATATGATGTCCTACCCGCAGACCCCACCCCTCACCGATAGCCAGGCAAGCTCGTCCAGTCCTGGTCCCACGAAAGGCAGAAATCAAAATGACCGGTCGCACGAGGAAGCAAGCACACAGCGAGTGACGTCGACGTCCTCGGTGGAGGTTATTCTATCGTCCTGCGACCCTTCGCTGCTGCACATCGCCCCGATCTTGTACGATTTGGGGATCAAGCGCGTCGACCATCTGCGTGCCATCGCCAGGCTGGGAGAGGGGACAAGAGACAGAGAGGTCAAAGAGGAAGCATTGAGACGGGGGGTGACTGTCTTGGAGTGGGCGATCTTCTTGGACAAGCTGCAAAGCCTGTAACATCCATGCCAGGGCTGCGACCCGAATTGACCGTTGCTTGTCTCCGTGTCAGATCGAGGTTGATCTACTATTGGGAGCGGAGCAGACAGTAGTCGGCCCATGTAATGATATACTTCCAACGAGACGCTGTTGCAGGTGAAATGTAATACACGTAGGTCATGCGAGAAGATAAATGAGACAGCACGCGGGTGGTGAACAATAACGTCTAGTTTTCTCGCCAGTTGTTTCCGCATGCTGTACAGCTGCATTGCGGTCAATGTCAATGCTGCCTGAGTACGTCGCCAGACATACCGGTAGACTGACAACAACATATTCTGTCAACGAACTGTGACATCGCAGCACGACAGCACACGTACAGGTTGTCATGGGTTCGTCCGCCGACCTGATTTGCAGCTGATAGAAATATGCACGGCCGTTGTCGCACTTTGGGCATGTAGCTACATAGGGAGTACCGTAGTGAATCAGCAGGTTATTGCTGGAGATGATGAGTCATAGGATTACCGTTAGTAGAGTCGGCATGTTTCCATTGGTCTTCTCCCCCAAGAACATCGTCGACCTCTTTCCGTTTCAGCTTCGTCCTCGAGGTCATCTGCGCACTCGACATGTCAAGACTTAGCCATGGCAGGGATCGCCCAGGGACTCACCTGCTTCGTGATTGGGAATTCATATGCACAGGTGTTGCACGCCCATTTGTTGTAACCCGTTTCTGCGGAAATGACGAGGAGATTTGCGCAGTTGGGGCAGAATAACATGTTAGGCGTATCCGGAGGAGCCTTGGAGCAATTGCTCTAACAATCAACGTTGCGACCGTCTTCAGAAATTTTCGGTGTGAATCTTGGCTATCCTATGCAGAACCTGCGAATCAGGGCTGTGGAGGGGTGGATCGTCTACCTGCAGTATGCTTCAAGACTTTCGTGCACTCCGTGATAGCCGGAGTGGGTTTCGCCCTGTAAGGGTTTTTTCCTATGCTCGGTTAGCTTCGGATGTTACGGGCCGTCTACCTGCCCTGACGACTGAGTATCGTCAGGCTAACGAGTGTAGGTACTACGTCCCGTCTCTTTCACCCTCCTTCGAAAGATCTCCCGATGAACATTAATGAACACTTCATTGTAACGTATATCGTTTTCATATAATCTACAAATCTCTCCTGATTGCAGGAGGCTTCCACCTCAGCCCGGAAAGGCGCTGAGAGCTGTTCACTCGCAGCCTTGCATCATCATCGTCCCGGACGCAAAGCCCGAAATACTGTAACTTACGCGCATCAGGCAAGTGACTACTTGTTTGTGCCCTTGCTGTAGGTATGAGTGGACTGCCAGCTTTTCTCCTATTGGGCGTTCGGGGCTTATAGCCATGACTCGTCCATAGTATCGAGCGGGGCCGCAGCGAGCTTACTAGGGCCCCAACTACGAAGGCAACACTATATCCAGGGGACCGCATCTAAGCTATGCAACGAATAGCCGGTCTGAGCTACTGCCGTGACTTGTTAAACGCAGTCAGTATGTAGGCGCGGCGACGTGAGGTTGCCGGGCCCTAAATGAGCAATTGTACATAGCCGTGACCACCGCCACACACTGTACTGCCTTGGCTACGCCACACATCTGCCTTCCTACATTAACTCTCTCTGATATACCACGCAGGTACGTTCGCGCCAGCCCCGCATTTCCTTCGCATCAAGGCATACTGATACTCTCGAGGACACTGATCGCACGTCCTGGATCTCATCAGGCTTGGAAGGCCACATACATTCCAAGTAATCGGGAGACACTTGCAGGCTCCAGCTTTCCATCGATCCCATTAGCATGTCCTGGTTGAAGGCGGCATTCCACTCATCCTCTCATTCCAAAGGCAAAGGCCGGGCGCACAGCCCTCCGTCCGACGCCCCTCCCGAGTGGGAACCCTGCGCCGAAGAAGTTCGCCCCCTAGGAGTCCACTCCGATGCCCCCGAGCAAGACTATCGAGCGGCAGAGACTTTCTGCCGGACCCACCCCCCGCAGCCCTCTCGCCTCCTCTCTTCCGAGTCGATCGAGCGCATCCGCGCGCTGGGCTGTGGCGCATGGGGGCTCGAAGTGCCCACCGCGGCGGAAGGGCCGCGCTTTCGCGGGAGAATCGACAATGGTGGCGAGAAACCCAGATCCGGCGTCGTGCGGGTCACCTCGGACTACCGCTGTCCGGATTCGTGTATTTTCAGCACCCTCCCCATCCTGGCGGGCTTGTACGATACGCGCGGGAAAGAGGGCGTGTACTACGAGGTGAAGATGATTCGCGTACCTCCACAGCCGGGGAGCATCGCCGTAGGTGAGTGGTACCTCCGAGTTTCATACTTGCTATGCTGCATCTCCATGGAGAGTGATCGCTCATGCACAATTTTTTTCAACAGGAGTGGCCTGTCGTCCTTATCCTGGGTGGCGCATGCCAGGATGGAACCGCCTCAGCGCAGGCTTCCACACGGACGACTGCTCCAAATTCTTCGAGGACCCGGACGGAGGTCGACAGTACGCAGGGGAGTTTGCCATCAACGCGGGCGATGTCATCGGCATGGGCTATAGGTTCGCCGCCGGAGAGATTTTCTGGACGCATAACGGTCGCTCCCTGGGTACTGCGTTCACGGGTGTCTTCATGCCGTGTGAGCAATACGACGTGTACGCGGCTATCGGAATTACAGGTCCCGGAGAGGCTGAGCTGGAGGTGAACTTCGGTGCTGGCTGGGATTTTGAATGGAAGGAGGGAAACGATTGGAAGGTTCAGGGGCACGTAGGGATGTTGTCCGGAGGACTTGGAGGAGTAGACGACGACCTACCGTCTTACTCGACCTATAGTCGAGATAGGCCTGTGTTGGCCTGACACAGGTGTTGATAACTATAGTATTTGCTTGGCTTGACCTCATCAATACTCGGCAGTCCGTGGCCCCACGATCACCAGTATATCCAGACCTATTCATTACACAACATTACATCTATGCACTCTAGGGTATGACTCAATACAACTCAACAGCACCGATACAGGACTCCCCCCATGTCTCATCTCAGACATTGCACTTGAGCTCCGCACCGGTGATCATCTTGATCGTCGCGCCCAAGCACCATCCCAGCTCCGTGCCGTCGATTTGCTTCCCGAGCTCGACCTCGCGATCCGCGTTGAACTCGTAGCCCAGCCGGAGGAGCGCGTGCATGAACGTCAGGTCGAGGCACCACTCGGGCCGGCCCTCCAGCTCGTCCATGAGGTCCTTGTCCGCGCCCCAGAGCTCCTTCCACGCCGCCGGGCCCTCGCAGACGGTCTTGGCGAGATCCGCGTAGGTGGAGATGTGGACGGGCTGCTTGGGCGCGTTCACTTTCGCGGCGAGGAAGGGATTGAGGCGGTCGTAGAAGTATGAGAGCAGGAGGATCTTGCCGTGAGGGAAGGTCTCGAGGAGCGAGGGCTGGTACACGCCGTTGAACGAGCACGGCTTGACATTGCAGACACTAATGACAGAAGAAAAGACGTCAGCACACACAAGCGCATTCAGTCCAGAGTCAACAGAGGGAAACGTACGCGTCCTTGGCCATCACCAACTCGACCACCCGGTTGCACGACTCGAAGTCACCGACGTCCTGGCCCATCATCGTCACGTTGAACTTCTCGCCCATCCGCTGGTCGTCGATCTCCACCAGCCTCTGCGTGCCCTTCGCCAAGCACGGGTTCGCCACGAACGCATCCTTCCCGTGGCTCGCCCCACGCAGCCCGTTCATGAACTCCACGAGCCGGTGCACGCTCTGCCGCGCGGTCATGAGCCCGTATCCGAGGTACGAGTGCTGGTAGAGCACGCGCGTCGCGCCGTCGTACTTGAGCTCGTACTTGTGCTCGCCCTCCTCGAGCGACGCGTCCGGCTTCGCCATGTCCAGCGTCGGCTGGAACACGATCTGCGTCGAAGCCCCGCCGAGGTCGAGCACCGCGTACGGCTGCCGCTGCTCCGCCTTCGCCTCCGCGGAGAGCGTCTTGAGCAGGTAGTTCGCCGTCAGCCACGCGTACACGCCCTCGTCCCGGCCCTCCATGATCTCGACCGCGTGCTCGCCGGCGAGGCTGAACGGGTACGCCGTCTCGAGCCGCCGCCGCACCGCCGCGAGGATGTCCGCGGCCTCCTGCGTCCCGAGCCTGCGCAGCCCCGCGGTCGCCTTCACCTCGATAGGCGTGCAGTGGCGGAGGGACTCGGGCACGACGCGCAGCGCCTCCTCGAGCAGCTCGTCGAGGCTCTTAGCCGCCGCCTCGGGGTCCCCGCGGTACGACGACAGCCCCGGCTGGCGCTGCTTGAACACCTCGTACTCGTACCCGGGCGACGGCCCGCAGTTGTTGAACTTGTAGATGTGGATGCGCGAGCCGGTCGAGCCCGCGTCGATCATGAGCGCGAACTGGACGAGGGGCACGCCCGCCTTGTACGGCTGCGTGCAGTAGTGCGTCTTCGTCAGGTCGCCGTCGCTTGCCGGGTCCGTCGGGCGGGTTTCGGGCGCGGTCGAGACGTCGTTGTCGTGGGGGATCTGGGTAGCTGGATAGTCCTGGCCTGTGTGTTTTGTGGTGGGGCCGGGTGCGGGAGGGTAGATGGCGTCCTCAGCTGGCCGCGCGTCCGGCTTCATGATCGCTACATTCGACCATCCACTTCAGTCTTCGCATCCAACCAAAGTAGCAAATGGGACGGCGATAGCGGACAAGAAATAGAGCAACGACTCACAAGGCACGTAGTCATCCAGGTCCTCCTTCCTCGGCCCAAAGAAATACACGAGCCCAATCAACACCACCGCCCCGATCGCGAACTTCTTCCACGCAAACCTCCGCCCGCCCCCGCTCTTGCTGGGCCCCATGCCGCCCTCGAGCCTTTCATAGTTGCTACTCCGCGGGGAGAACATGTCGCTTATGCTTTTCGCAGACCGTCGACGGGTCGCCTTGCTAGAGGACTGAGAGTTTTCTGAGCCGTTGCCGACGCTCACGGAAGAAGATTCTGAGGAGGATTGGGATGCCAACGCCGTCGTACGGGTACTGGGGTAATAAAAGAGAGGTGTGTCCGATGAGGGCGTCGAGTGGGTGCTGTCGTAGTCGTCAAGAATCAAGAAGGGTGTAGTGCCGCCGCGCTGCCGCATGCGGACCGTTAGGCGAGCAGGTTCTCGGGCTCGGAGTCTTTGACATGACGAGGCTGTGTTTATATGTACCTTCGGTACTTGCATAACAAGTGTGATTACCTTGCACACAATTCATGAACGGCTAACATGTTGTTCGCCCAAGCTCACACGAAAGACGTTCGAAGTATACAACATTCACATTGGTCCACTGCGTCGATTACTACGACGGAAACGACTACTGGACAAGACAGTACGCGAGGGAACAGGTGTACGATGGAGTCAGTGGGAGGTCGGAAACTAATTGCACCGACTCAACATTAGCGATGATTTTGGCGACTATGGACAACGAAAGAGGCACATGGGGACTTGGGGGTTGCGACGCTACTCTGCGAGCAAATGGTTGAGGAATGGGGGGAAACAGAAACAGAGTAGCGAAGGCCACGAAAAAATGATGCGGCATTGGTTGAGAGAGACTACGATGGGAGAGATAAGGAAACATATCGCATAAGGTATACTCAAACAGCGTCAAAGCGAATGGAGTTGGAGCGAGCGAAGTGATCATGCAGCATCGAACGACGGCAACTCATGTCCGTGACTCTCTAGCAACGCCTGGTAGAGCATCGCCCGCTGCCTCCACATCTCCTTCTCCTCTCTCTCGCGCTCGACAGCCGTCTCCAGCTCTCGCTGGTACTCCAGCTTGCGCTTCCGGCTCCGACGAGCCGCGAGGGTGTTTTGACGACGCTTGGCTTCGATTGCATCCACATCGTTCGGGTCGAGCGACACTTCCTCCTGAAGCTCATCCTCTTCGCCGAACGCTTGCGACCGGGCCCGCTTCTTCTTGAGCCACGCTGTAGGGACCTCCTTGCGTGAAGTCGCCGACGGCGTGACATACTTGCGCTGTTGGATGGGGGCGTCGAGAGGTACTAGCGACTCGGGAGTGATGTTCCGCCGCGTCCCGGTGGGCAGGGACTTGCGAGGACGACGAGCTGGCGTCCCAGGCGTGGGGAGGAGATTGGAACGAGGGGATGGTTGGAGGGATGTAGGGTCGAGCGCAGGCGTCATTGGCGAGGGCATCGTGTACATGCCGTCGAAGGGCAACGCGGGCTGAGAGAGAGCTGGAGGTGAGACCGTGTGAGGCTTGTCGAAGGCTCCAAGGTCGAAGCCGGTGCCTCCAAAGAGAGGAGCCTCCCCCATATCGGGGAAAGTATCGGCATCGAATATTGCCGGGCTCGTGAGTAGCTCGGCAGACATGTCGGAAGACCCGAGCGCAGGGGTGGTAAGGAACTCCTCGAAGGGGGAGTCCTCCATCGGCGACGTCAGGAACTCGCTGAAGTCGTTCGCCATCTGAAACTCGGGCGACGCTGCACGACAAGTGTAAATGCCGGTAGCTCCGAGCAAAATTTCCGGGTGCATACCTTGGATGGCGTCCATGATCGCCTGGACGGTCTCTGGGTCGGCAGAAAGGTCGGACATTTGGTTCGCCCGCTCAGGGGCAGATTGCGTCTCCTCGGGCTTGTTAGACAGCATGTTCAAGTAGTTGGAGCACACGAGATTGTAATAGTCGAAATCTGGAGTCGAGCTCGAAGCGACTGGTTGCGAGAGCGCTGGAGAAGATACTGATGATGCAAACTTGGTTGTTCGAGGAACCGGGGGAAGCGATTGGGGGATTCCATGATGGGCAGCTAAAGCCGAAGTCGAAGTGAAGACCGGATGGGATGTCCGAGGACGATGGGATGACTGGTTTACCGAGACATTTTCAGTCGGGTAAGAGCTTGGGAGTTGGAAACTCTCAAGGTGTGCAGGGTGCGAGGAACCATGGCTGGTGAGTCGGTCCGAGCGATCGCGTGTAGAGGACGCGTTTACAAAGTGAGCGAGAACATGTTCGCGACGCTGTGTTGGTGGTTGATACGACTGGGGATACAAGGTGGGAGTGGGGGTGGGGTTAAGTTGAAGGGCGTCAGGTGACAAACCCGCTAAGGAGGGGAGTAGTCTGGAAGGGGATGCCGACATAATCAGTGGTGTGTTCACAACGGTTGGGTCATTGCCGTATGGGATCGCCGACGACGCGTGAACAGGTGTATGTGGGGGAACAGGCGGAGAAGAATACGGTCCGGACGCAGCGCATGGCGACGCCGGGGCCTCGGAAGCTGGCCGGTTCTGCAACATGTACTGCATGTTGCGCAGGGGAGAGGCTGATGACTCTGCCACTTCGTTGTGCGACGCGGAGGACGTCATATTCATTGCGCGGTTGACTCGCGAAATGTGCTTAATGACTGCCAGCGGAAATACGGCGACACGGACTGAATCAGAGGTAATGGGACTCACGAATTGCTCAGAGGTGATCTGAGGCAGTAGTTGTACCTCGGACAGTGCTGCTGACTGTTCGAGGAGATGTGTGGTGGGGGGGGTTGAGAGAGGATGGACGAAAGTGATAATCTGACTCGGTCTGGTTTTTATCGGTTCCCGTCCCACGGCGATTCAGACTCAGAGCCGCTCATTGTCCCGAAGCAGCTCCTGGGCTGTGCCTGACCAGGACGCCCATGTGCTCCGCCTTGCTAATTACGCCCTGTCCCGCCGGTCCGCAGCCCAGAGAGCCACGACGACACACGTCTACATACGTCGCAGTCGTCCACAAGCACATTTACTTTAGCCCAAGCTCCTCTTGGGACACGTCCAAGCCCTGCGTACGCAGCGCACAGTCGCCAAAGGCGCTCGCGTCGAGGCCTGGGACAGCGGCATCTGGTTGCGGCTCCGAGTACAGGACCTCGAGTCAGAGTCGTCCAACTGTTCCGATCCCGAAAGTTGCGATTTCAGAATAAGGCAGGAACAGCCCGCGTACGAGTACAGCAAGGCGGCGCAAGGGCGATGCGCGCACCTTGCACAGCCCCCGCCTTCGTCCACCCAATGTCCGTCCCCCGCCCGCCCGCCGCCCGCCGCCATCGCCCCGCCCATTTCCCATAAACCGACACGCCGCCCGCGCCCCGTCCCCACGCCTGTCCACGCGGTCCCCCCCCGTTTATCCGACAATAATTATATCCCCTCCGTCCGACGTCGCGCGCCGAGCCATCTTCCGCCCATCGATCGCGCATGATTATCATATTTGGCCCCCGACGGCTGCCCGCCCGACCACGGCCGACATTCGCTGCCACACAAGTGCTGTACCTCCCAGGCACACGTACGCGCCAGTTGGGTTTCCCCGCGGCCACATGCAGCTGTCGGCTTGCCCTCAGCCCCACGCCTTCTGGCGGCCCGACGTCGCGGCGAGGGGTTCGATCAACAATAGCCGTCACCCACTTCCCCTGCGGTCTGCAGTACTGCCCAACAGCAATCATTCCGGTGTCGGAGCGCGCGTCCTTGCGGTATCGCCACACGGCGGCGCATGACCTAGAAGAGTATAGCCAGTCCAATGAGAAGCGACTTTGGCGGGCGACGATAAGCCCGGATCTTCTCGTCCACCGCGAGATGACATGTAGACAATATGCTTGCTCAGCAACCACCACTCACGAGTGGACTTCGTACCGCTGTCGCTGACCGAGGGGCCCAGAACCGGAGAGCCGCAAAAGTGACTCGAGCCGCCAAAGAGAACCAATAGCCGTCGAGGATACCTGGATACGAAGGGGAGGGGTGCTTGTCCGCATGTAGAGCGCAATGGGAGCTCCGTCCTGAGAGCGTGTCCGCGGCCAAAGAAGCAATGTCGATAGAAAGGGGCTCGAGAGCACCGGTGTGAGAAGGCGCCATGAATAGCTCGACGTTGTTCCCTGGGCGTGATCGCGTCCTACCTCCCAATGAACGTTGTTTGCAGTGGGCGCCGACACAGCCTACGGGGCGACGGCGACGACGCGCCCGCGCCTCTGTTGAGCTCCGTCAGCCTGCGCGCGTCGCGATCACTCACCCGCCACGGCCACATTGAACCGCAAGAGTAATCGCGGCACCTCTCAAGCCCGTCCCAGCTTTCCCTTGCTACTACATCGAGGCCACATCGAAACTGCAACGAGGCTCGGAAAGCGCCGCCTGTACAGCTTCCACTTTGCCGACCCGGGCTCAACGTCTTCTGTACCGCCGCCGCCTCCATCGGCGATAGCTGTCAGATATTCTCGAGCGGACCGCACTCACCCCTTACACCGACCGCCCGTCTTCCACGCTGCCTTCCACGCGCCCCGGCCCAACGTCCCGCTTCCCGACCCCCGCGCCGACACCTCCCAACGAGCGCCGATACGCCCGGTCGTGTCACAACCGTCACATTCTCTCGCCACGCCACGAACAGCCTCGCTCGGACACAGATCGACCCCGCAGATGCCCGAAAACCCCCAAGAAAATCGCACAAAACCGAGGAGAGCACGCAGGATCGACCACAGCGTCGCAGCACAGAGGGGACAGGGGAAACGGGAGCACTCAGGGAGAGAGGAATGCTTGCGCCGCGTTTTCTGTCTTTTATGCAAGCGCGCCTCGAGTCAGAGACCCGCCGAAACCGGGCGAGCCCATCACTTTTGAGTCATCCCACGTGGGCTTCGCGGGGCGCCAGCGCTTCTTTGTCTTCACCCGCGCAGCCTCTTCACGCGCCACGAGGCTCCGAAACGCACGCTAGGATTTGCGCTGTGGAACTGCGCCCCGTAATTCCCCGCCTGCGAGTCGGTACCGACGGGAGGCCTCAGGGACAATTTGTCACCACCCAGTGAGAATTTTCTCGTCGGGTCGGGGAGGTCATCATGAGGTTGACGCGATTAATGTGGACGTTCTCTGTTCGTATTTGGGAGCGTCAATGTGAGCATACGAGGAGCTATAGAGTCGATGTGATGAGAGCGAAGGCGGCACGACCTATCCAAGAGATACAGCAGAGAAACCGGAGTATACCCAGAAACAACGCTAGACTAGCAGGCGAACAACTAACTATCCAAGTAAAGCCCGACCGGACAACAGCGACTAGCTCGCCGCCCCATTTCCGTTTCCGTCTCCTTTCCCGCCGTGCAGCTGCGATGGCAACGTCGGGACCGGGGGCGCGTCCGGCGCACTGAAGAACCCCTCCGCAGTGATCCCGACCGCCTGCACGCCCGAGCCCGTGCTCTTCCCCCTCGTCGTCCCCCTGCCCACCGCGATCGAACCCTTGCGCGACGGGTTCCCGCGCTCGATCGAGATCGTCGAGCGCGCCTTGTTCAGCGTCGCGTACGCGCTCGGGGGCCCGTTCCCGCCCCCATTCCCGAACGCCGTGTGCGTCGAGCGCGCCGTCGCGTCCCTCGACGGCTGCTGCGAGCGGTGTTGCGGCCGAAACGTGCTCGCGCCCGACGCGCCGCCGGAGAAGCGGCTCGGGTTCGGGTTAGCGGGGCCGAGGGGCATGACGAGCATCGCGTCGTCGATGTCCTCGTCGTCGAGCAGCGCGCTGTCGCGGTTGTTCAGCGACGGGCTGCCGGGCGAGTTCAGGTCCGCGAAGAGATTTGGTGGGTGGAAGACCTCTTGGCCGTCGGTGACGCCTGGCGAGGTCGCTTCGCTGCGGTCCGGGACCTCGTCGAAGACCTCGTAGTACCGTTGGATGCAGAGCTTGATGACCATGCCGAGCGTCGTCCTGCCCTCAACAGATGCTGGCGGTGCACTGGACAAGGAGGCGCCTTGGGACTGGGCTGCGAGGTTTGTGCTCGAGGCGGCGCGCGCTGCGTCGAAGAGCGTGGGCGCGTTGGGGATGGAGCACATCATCACGTCTCGCACCGGGTTAGAACTGGAAACGAGGTTGGGACAGATCACGACGGTAAGGTTGTGCGCGTCCATGCGATTCCATTCAGACCGCAGCTGCACCTCGTACAACAGGTCTACAAGGAAAACGCTCAGCATATGAGAGTATTCATGACGAGCGTGCGACTTACGGAGCACACTGCTTAATAGAATGTACGCGCACGGAGGGAGCTCGGGCAGCAATGTTTCCCGTATATACAGAATCGCCGACATGTCGTTGGGATCGTCTGTCGGTGCAGGGCATTTCCGTATGATTGAGTAAAGTCTCTCAGGGAATATGGGCTCTGGTAAATCGTGCAAATACTTCTTCAGAAGCACTGCGGCCAAATGTGCGTCGCCGAACGTTTCCAGCGATACAACGTGTCCTTCCCACAGGTGTGGTAAGTACTCCCGCGTACACTTGATAGGTGAACACCGACGCGGACACACCTCGATCATATGCCTGCGCAGCCTGCTTCAGAAGGACGGAATTCGGCGACCGGCGGAAGAGGCCCTCGTCCCGCAAACCTAATATGGCGTCAGCATGGAAGCCGAAGGCCCTGGGACGCGTGTGCGGTTGGACTGACCTGTCGACCGGAGGTAATGTATACAGTCTTTGATCACGCGTGGGAGGCCTCCTTTCTCGCCATCGAATCCCATGAGCTCCTCGAGGGGAACGCCGAACAGGTCGGATCGGGTCATGACTGGGAGATTGATTTGTCGCTCATGCTTGAGATTTTCTCTGTTTCGTTGTCAGTGATTGGGGCAAGACTTGGGACTATGACCGGAAGTGCGCTTACTGGTATACTGCTGGGGGTATATCTATTTGTGTGAGAGGAACGTGGTATGCCAGCTCGGAAAGGGTATTGATATAAGTTATCTTGCGGAAAAACTTAGGGCTACTCAAATCAACAAAGAAACCGACATAGTCAGAGGATACCACGCACCTAATGATGGCACCAGCCAAAGAGAAGAGCACTACGCAACAAGTAAGACAGCGGATGATGCGAGAAAGGAGATAACGGACTCTTGGTGAAGAAATTAGAGTGTACGACATACTGTGACCGTCGTCAGATAAATGGTGTGACGACCCAGGACGGGAAGCCTCTTACCAAACGCTTCAGATTTTTACGATACTTCCGGCTAAGACTGCGGTATGCCTTCCATACCCAGTTCCAGCCTGGTGAATGCCGGTTCCCAGCAGCAAGGAAAACGACCGTATAATCGGACTCGACTGCGATGTCGGCCTAAGGATTGGATCATCCTGTGAAGGAACCGCACGCACCGTAGAGATCCAGGTACGACAGTATACGACTGGAATGGGGTCATGACGACTGCCCCTTTACACAGACAGAATACTCACGAAAGAAGCAGGTCATAGGAAACCTCCCGTGGGTCAGGCATGGCAGATGCGCACATGACAATCCTGATTGAACACATTGGTATGCATTCATAGAAAAAGTTGCCATGGTACGCACATAGGTCGTGTTCTTCGAAAACGGCTGTTAACGAGCATCGCAACGTACAAGCAGGGAACCACTCACTCATAGTCCACTCCGGCTTGGAATATTAGCCTACTCATAATTTCCTGTATCCTCTCCTGTCCTTGATACTCTCCCGGGGTAGCATCTGATGCAAGAGCAGAGGACTTTCCAAACGGTTGCTTGAAAAAGGACTTGCGTTTGCTCGTCGCAGGCGAGTCCGGTGGCAAGTCAAAAGAGTTCGAGCGGGATGGAGAGTTGATGTTCGCGGACAGCGCAGCCAGTCGCTGTTTGAGAGTAAGTGGGTTCGGAGGCATGTCGAGTCAGGCGTAGGGTGTTTCGAAGAGAGTCCGGGGCGAGGTATGGGAAGTGTTGTTGTCTTAAGCAATCCCGAAAGAAAGATACGAAACGAGGCCGGGATGACTCGCAAATTCAGCAGGGACTTCACAGTCTGAGCAGCTCGGAGACTAGCACAGGGTGTAAGGTATGCGCGATAGAAGAAATGTCCACCGGCGGTCCGCTCTTGGAGGCGTTGTGGAAGGTGGACAGGATGGAAGACGACTGAGGGAGTAGCAGCCACTTCCCGGTGGCGGAGACCAAGGCACAGCGGCTAGACGCCGGGATGTGTCTGTGATCCGTCACGCGGAGGCTTTGCGGCGTGACGGAGTCTCCAAATAAAGAGGCGCGTAGGCGATCGCGTTCATCAGTACTTGGTCGTTCATGCTCTCACCAGTACTAGTACATCGGACGAAACCGAGCATCTATGATTGTGACTCATCGGCCGAAACGTAAGCTGTGAGGCGAAGCAACTCTGTATATAACACTCCAATGGCTGCATTGACAACTTCAGCCCCTCCAAATCCCACAGCGCACCCACACCTGCCCTCATATAGCGGTACGTACTGGCTGCTCCTATCTAGTTATTTTGGGCCACTCATTTGGCGCTCCTCACACGCAGGTCTATACGCGCAACATGTCGCAAAAATCGCATGTATACACCCACGGCCACCATGAGTCTGTCCTGCGCTCGCACTCTTGGCGCACTGTCCAGAACTCCGCTGCGTACCTCATCCCGCACCTCAAGCCAAACATGACCATCCTGGACGTCGGCTGCGGGCCAGGCACCATAACCACCGACTTCGCCCAAAATTATGTTCCCCAGGGGCATGTCACAGGACTCGACGTCCCAGACATCACGGATAAGGCTCGCGAGTATGCCGCGTCCAAGGGCGTTACCAACATCACCTTCACCTCTGGTGACGCCCTCAATCTCCCCTTCCCGGACGCAAGCTTCGATATCGTCCACGCCCATCAAGTGCTACAGCACGTCTCTGACCCTGTTCAGGTGTTGCGCGAGATGCGGCGCGTCGCGAAGCCCGGAGGGCTCGTCGCCACCCGCGAAAACGATCACTCTGCCAAGGTCTGGTGGCCGGATATTGAGGGGCTGCAACAGTGGAGCGAGGGCTATAAGGCGGTCGCCCGCGCTAACGGCGGCGAGCCCGATGCAGGTCGTCGCCTGCATGTCTGGGCGAAAAAGGCCGGTTACCCTGCCGACAGCCTCACCTTGTCCGTCGGGACCTGGTGCTTCTACACCCCGGAGGATCGCGCATGGTGGGGCGGCCTGTGGGCGGATCGCCTGTTGTCGTCCAACTTCGCACCTACAGCACTCAAGCATGGCATTTTCACACAGGAGGGGCTCGAGAAGGTGGCAGAAGCATGGCGTCGGTGGGGTGCGGATGAGGACGCGTGGTGCACTCTAATCCACGGTGAGCTAATCGCAAAAGTCTGAAGAGTACGACAGAGTTGTACATGTGCATATTATTTGTCTGTACCCTCCTTCCCTTGGCAAATGACTGTACATATATATGTAGCATCCTAACTGAGCCGCGACATCTTTGTAATTGAATTGGTCGGCGATCAACCGTACCAGTGCATGGGCGTCCGCACCTGCGGCTATCCTCGGCGCTTCAAATCGCAATCATCATGCCATGTTGAACTCGTCTAGCACAATACTAACCACTCAGTCAAGATGCACTCATGGTAAGAGCACTAGGACTACATAGAGTCGCGAGCTGATGGTGTCTAAGAAGATATGCACCACATGCACCCGACGCTCTCCATCCAAGAGATTCTCCACAATGTTTGTGCCTACGCTTGCGACTCGACTCGGCTTTCCCTCATACGGACCTGCCAGGCGTTGCACGCCGTAGCTATCCAGTCTTTCTGGAGCGATCTTCCAGACTTGACACCGCTGATCAAGTGTCTCCCAGAGGACGCATGGGCGGTTGATAAGCGGTCGGGGCTGCTTGTAAGTGCAAGACTCTCAAACCCCCTGTAAAGCTCGTTCACAAAGCTTTGGATACAGAGAATTGTGCGCTCACTGTCGCCCGAAGACTGGAACAGCTTCCTGAAGTATTCAGTCCACGTTCGTTACTTGGGTTTCCGGGACGCGCCGACCAAATGCCGATTGGACGATCGTGTCGTGACCATGGTATCGATGTATCGGCCTGCTCTCGTCCTACTCCCTAGGCTTTTGGCAGTCAGAATACGGGCTCTATCGCTACGTGACTCCGATATTTCGGCTGTGCTCGGTTGAAATGGTCCCCAACTCAAGGAGATCTCTATGCACTGGGGTCTTGAAGACGATCCGGAACAGCACTTACAGACGTGCATGTCAGTGATCTCGAATCGCTTCTCCTCCCTCGAAGACTTCCAGCTATACTGCAAGAACAGGCCGCTGGTGTGCAGGCTCATTCCTGAATCCTTTACAGAGCAGCTGCGCAATCTCAGAATGTTTCGCACTTACAAGCTGCCCATCTCGAAATATGCCCTCCGTTCCCTCGGCCGACTCCAAAATCTCACTGTGGTAGCTATATACCTCCCTGCCTTCCTGTCTCCGGAGCTGCTTGGTCCGGAATCCTTTCCGGCCTTGTGCGAGATCAGAATAACGGCGCTTACGACGCTTACGAGGGCTTACTTCGCGTTTGCCAACGCGGTGGCGATGCTTCCCCAAGTGAAGGTCGCACATATCGACCTCCGCGACGTCCCCAAACCCGAGGAAGGGCTCCGCTTGTTCGATCTCGTATGCACCCAATTCTCGTGCACTCGACTCGTCGAGCTTTTCATCTGCAGCAACGAGGATGCATGCTCACGTCGCAGGAGGCCCCCCGCGCTCACTGTCAATCACCCCCACCTTCGACGCCTCCTTTGCTTTGCGGCGCTAACCGAGCTGAACGTCAATCTCGCATGCTCCTACGCTCTGGATGGAGACCTTTGCCTCGAAATCGCCAAAGCCTTTCCGGAGATACAGTCTCTCCACATTGGCGACTACGATTGGTGCTACTACGAGTACCCCAGCATAATAGTACCCCCCATGACACACGTTCTCGCTCCGTTCGCGACACACTGTCCGCACCTCACCTCTCTGGGCATCCCGTTCGACGCTCGAGAGTCGCTCTCCCTCCAGGACGTCAAGGACGCCCTCCCCGACCGGCCTAGCCGATCTCAAGTCTGGCACCTCAATTGCTCTCATTGCCCCATTGAGGACGACCAAACTATCGCTGCGTATCTAGCACGAGTCTTTCCGATGCTAGAGGGCCGTCACGACCTGGAGTGGTCTGACTTCGGCGCCGACATGCCCTCGCTGAGGTGGAAGGATAAGTGGTATGAGGTGCGACGTCTGCTCCCGTGGTTCAAGGTCATCCGAGATGACGAGGCAGCTACAACGGAGGAGCCAGAGGACTGAAGGATGGGACAGGAGAGGTGTGAGCTATTGGTTGACGTCCTGGAGTGAATAGAGGATGGATTAGTGTAGAACATATACCGGGAGTCAGAAGTTTTTACAAGGAGGTAGTTGGTGGGAACGACTCAATCCGATGTTACGAGCATGTATGCTCGCGTTGCTCGTCGTGTTTGCAACGCCGATCATGGATCCTGCAGAAGTTGCTTCGCTGATCACGCGCATGTTTCCCTAAGCGGAAGTGCTATGTAGTTCCGACTTTCCCGGCGACAAAGATATCGGGGTGCACACGTGCAACTTTAACTTCGCTGGTCATTAGACTGTCATCGGTATCTATCTACCCATGCTCGAACTTGTGCGGATGAGCGATAGAGTATCAAACAAGAGACTGAGGACAAAGAGGACAAGTGAATATACAGTGAGGAACAGATGTCTCTGGGCATCTGAAAACCGACACCGTGCCATTGAGTCCGTGTCTTTCGGGACCTTATTTAGCAATCGTCATAGTCCCGTGTTTGTGAATAGATCACTACTAGAGACTTCATCATCTCATGTCGCCGCCGAGGTACTATGTAAGCGCAACTCCTCCTCTATCAAAGCTGCGGAACTCGCCGAGCGAGGTTCAATTGAACAACGAAAGTCCTCGGGAAATCTGGTCGTGAGTTGTAAGCCAGACATCCAGACTCGACAGGACTCTTGCTTACGAGATGAAGCGGTCCGACATCGCAACCCCGACTTTGATAGGCTGCCCAGCCTGGTCAACAGGCGGAGATATGTGGAAGGCGTGCAGAATGGAGGCAACATTGAGGAAAAGTGAAGCGTCGGCAAAGTATCTCCCCGGGCATATCCTAATCCAAGCAAGTGTTCAATACTGGTTTCGAGTTCAAAAGTGCACCAATCTCAGACCTTCTACCGGAGCCGAAAACGAATGCGGACGGATCGACGACGTTAGGATCCAGTTTCCCGTTCCGGATGAAGCGTTCCGGATAGAACTCGTCGGGATTCTCGTACGTGTTGGGATCGTGCATTACGGCCCTTGGAATGGTATCAGATGCATGATGCGATGCGAAATGCTCCACTGATTCGTACCAAATATTCGCGGTGAGGACTGTACCAGCGGGTATGAAGTACCCTCGAAACTCATCGTCCTCGACAGTGCAATGTGAGATGCCCAGTGGCGTGACGGTGAACCAGCGGAATGACTCTTTCACTATTGCGTTCACGTAAACAAGCGAATCGCGATCACCGAAATTGGGCAGGCGACTTGGTCCCACGACAGCATCTAACTCCGCTTGTGCCTTCTTCTGAACTTCAGGATACAGCGACAGCGCAAGGAATGTGGCTTGTAACGTAGCCATCGACTACGGTGATAACCGATGGATGAGGAATGCTCAGTTGGCTTGTCATTAGTTGCCCAACTTACTGTATCTGCGCCGGCTGCAAACACAAAGCGATCAGGTCTGCGACGCATGTTCGACAGACTCCGAAGTCGTACCTGCCAACGCGACGGCTGTCACATCTTGAGCCAGCTCATTATACGAGACTAAGCCGTTTGACGTTTTTGATAGTAAAATATCAACGATAGGCTTCGCATGGTATTGTGCACCATATGGCTAGAGAGCGGAGTTCACGTCTCAGAGATCTGCGACATACCATCAAGTGTGTAGAAGGACGCACCGATACCGTGCTGCGCGAGGCGAGTAAAAGTTCCTTGAACTGCATGTCCTTGCTTCTCAGCTGCTTGAATACGTCATGGTATCCGGCACCAGGGAACCAAGCTGGAACGTGTTCTAAGAGGGGAATGTAATCCACGGCGAACCTGCCAGGCACCATGATTTGGGCGGTTCCATCTAAGGCGGTGTCGACCCTTTCCAGTAATTCACTCTTTTCGTCTTCAACTTCGATTCCATATGTGATCTTCAGTAGCGCAGTCGCGACCGTGCTACAAAAACCAGTCAATCTCCCTATCGAGAGACAAGAGGCTATCTACTCACAAATTGATATGCCGCTTGAGATTCTCGGGATCATGCAGTAGCTTGCCGAGAAATGTGCGGACAGCAGCGAGTTGCACGGGACGGTAACGGTCGATTGCTCCTGGGCGGAAATGCTGCCAGAACGCACGCCTATAGCTCCTCCACCTCGCGCCGTAACTCATCACTCCCAACACCCACTCACCCCCGACGCTACGCCTTGGTATAAGCCTGCGCGCAGTGAAGGCATCAGGATCGTACTCACAGTCTAGTTGAAGGGCACACAAGTCGATCTGAAGTGTTTGCGGTACGCTTGTCCAGGAGCTCCGAAATGGCGGCGCGGCTGTTGAGGACGAGATGGGATTGGCTTTGTGTCCGTAGGAAAATCACATCGCCTGTGCAACGGGACTTCATTCAAGAAGAAGTTAGGGACAACATGGAAGTGCGGCTTACCATACTTCATGCATATATCCCGGAAGCCGATCCATGGTTTGGACTTCGGCACGTCGAATAAATTGCCAATGATTGGGAGAGGATACGGGCCTGGCGGCAATGATCGACCTCTTGAACGACTTCTCCATAGCATATAAGAACGCAAATTGGCCAACAACAGGAAGGCCATAACCGCAAGGGGCAGCGTCACAATCGTACTCATGATGAAAGAGTCCGAAGGCTGGGAGCTAGCTACCTCTCACAGGACCCGGTGTCTCTTTATACTGCAGAGAGATTAGAGTTCATGCATGATGTGCCATTACGTGAGATGGCTTCCCCGCCAATGGCGCAAAACCAGGGAGTAAGTTGCTCGATGAAAGGAAGACGGGTTCCGCACTTCCCGTCCGCGTTATCAAGCGCGCTACGTAACCAAATAGTAGAGCTCTAGACAGGCATGAGCGAAGAGAGATTCAATAGGTAGCCTCAACCCTCATACCGTGGACACACATGTTGCCTGTATCTCTGATCGGTGCATGCTGGCTTGTCATGTGCTCCCCCGTGCAGGAACGCGTGGAGTGAGAGGCTGTATTGGCCTAGAGAATGACGAACGTGAGCTCGCTCTATCATAGCTGCGGGTTATCTAGTTATTATTATCGGAAAACGTACCAGCTCGTGTGACTTGCACCCTCAATTGTTTGCTTCTAAAAATCAATCCAGTACGAGAGGGTGAAGTCTACTCTACAATGAAAGTCTCGAAATGACTTCCTACAACGGTTCAGTCAAACGGAGAGCACGCAACGGGAGTCGTTCAACTCACCATTGTATTCTACACCTTGCCACAACCACTCCCGTTCCTGCTTCTGAACCTTCGCCATCGCCATCGCATACTTCTCAATCTGTCTCCACGCCTCACGCATCTCCAGGTGCTCGTATTCCAGACTCCTATTCCCCTGCCCAGCCTCCTTCATCAGCGGCAGACGCCCCCACGATGTCTTCAAAAGCATGAAATCCGGACACAGGTCCGACAAGAAGCCCGCGATCATCAGGTAGTCCGCTTCAGTAGCGCCTGTCTCAAGCTGCGAATAAACCCTCCTTCGTAGTGCGGTGTTCAAGGTCATCAACGCTCACGAGACAAAACCACTCATCATGAGTGACTCCATTCTGATCTTCCGATCGTAGGCGTCCAACAAATGGCGAGAAGTCGTAAACGAAAATGTGCTGTGCGCTCGTGACGACGCTGTACACCGCCGCGAGACCGAACTGTCTCCCAGGGCAGATCCTGTCGGTACACGGCAAGCAGCTTGGTCAATGCGTATCAGAGGGCCGTGATGCATGTTCATAGCGTCAAGCATCAGCAAATGTATCAAACCATGGTCTTGCATGGCCACGGCGCCCGAAACTGGCCTACCCTTTCCGGAAACCACAAGCGCCTACTAATGCTGGCCAACTCCCATCTCGTCCGACAGACTCCGGCCATTGAACATCTGCGCGCATGGATCCCGACAATGGTAGGTAGGTATTCATCTTGTCCTTTTACTTCATACCACTCAATCGTCACCAGAGAAAGTGCGTATACGTCGAGACTATGCAAAGCGCTCCGCTGCATCACAGCCGCCTCCTCGGCACTCCTTACTAACATCTCCCCAATCTCTCTCCCGAACGCGCTCCTCATCCTCCTCCATCCTCCTTTCCGCCTCGGCTCTCTCTGCCTCCTCGTCTGTGCATCCGCCGCCGCCGCCATGAGCGGCGGCATGGGGCGGCAGGTCAGGTTGCAGCCTACTATTTGTAGAACATGGCGCCGAAGTGCCGATGCAGGCAAAGCGGGTGAGTGCGCGGCAACTCAGCAGCGTTGTATTCAGTCAGATGGTGTCGTTGCTGTGGACGATCGCGACAGCGTCCACAGCAAAACCGACCAGATGCCCCGTGCGCCGGAGCATGGGCATGCAGCCATTGTGAGCGTCTGCCCGGTGTGGTGACATTCCCTTCACGATCCTCACCCTGCCTTCTTTCTACGTGTACTCCCTACTGATACTTTTCAATCTTGCTCATCGATGACGCGTATTTTAGGTTACAACTCAATCAACGGCCTGTCATTGTGCTAGCCCTGCCCTGAACCATCTCTTGCAAAACCCCCATCTCTCCACGCCGCGTCTGCATCCCCCCTTTATCACCCGCTACAACGTACCAGTTCTGCAACATGCCCCTTGGGATCTGATGTTTGTGAGTCATGCCAAGACGGCTGTAGCTACTAATGTCTAGCTCCACCCGCCTGCCTTCGGCTCCTCATAAACATCCCATAGGTATGTATATTGTGCACACACTAGTTGTGTCTCGCTCTTGCCCTTTACGTAAGCCTTGTTGCCTGACTTACCTTTTGTATGATTGCATAGACATTGTTGCGTACTTGTGACTTTGGCCTCGGGAGCATCCTTGCTCCTGCTCACCCAGCGACTAGCCCTGCTAACCCTAAC